AATTAATATGTCTATTAATAGAAACATCAACAGAGTTAGGAAGTGGGGGAGGAGGTTTAGAAGGTGGTTGTATCCTGTTAACCCTCTCCTTTGCCAGATAAGAAGGGAGAGAATAAGCAATCCAGTAAAATCCTATGGCTTTTGACTAAACTTTGTTGGAATGTGTGCAGCCTCTTTCTGCTCCCCAGAGGAAGGGAGGAGAGGTGGCAGTGCTCCTAGGGCCAGCTCAGAAACCAAGCGCGGGCTTTGATCACAACCAGCAGCAACAGGCTACCAAAGTCTTGGGTTTTGTATGCATGTGTGCCATAATTTCATTATTTTGAGGTAATTAAGCTGGCTTTTTTAAAGAAAAGCTTCAGATTTGTCCTGATTTGCAGTCTTCCCCCGCAATCCCTTTTGAGTAAAGCTTTGCAGGATGACTGAATTCTTAGAAGGACAGGGAAGATTGTCTGAGCATGTCTGGCCTCTCTTTAGTTCCCCTGAGAGACTGCGTAACTCCTTGGGCAGCTCACCTCCTCCAGAAGGGCAAAAGAAGCTCAGGAAGACGGGAGGCTTTCTCAGACCTGAAGGGCCTCCTCCTTCTTAGAATCCAGAAGAAAGGAGAGATCTTAGAGAGGAGGGTGGAGGTCAAGCTAAAGAAAAAGGCCAGAGTCCTAGCTGGGTTGTGTGAAGGGTGAGAAAGAATGCAGAGATTGGCAAGCAGAATTTGGTTTGTGCACAGGGCAGGTGGCTACCAATGTATGCTCTTTGAGACTTGAAGCTATTTTAAATATGTTTAAAGACTTAAAGTAAATCATGTCTAAAGAACTAAAGGAAAGTATAAGGATAATGCCTCACCAAATAGAGAATACCGATGAAGACAGAGAAATTGTAATAAGGAACCAGACAGAAATTCTGGAGTTGAAAAGTACAATAATGGAAAAGAAAATTTCACTAGACAGGCCCAACAGCATATTTGAACAGGCAGAAGAAAGAACTAGCGAGCCTAAAGATCAGTCAATTGAGGTCACCCAAACTGAGGAACATAAAGAAGAAAGAATGAATAATAATACACAGATCCTCAGAAACCTGTAAGACACCATCAAGCATGCCAAACACACGTAATGGGAACCCCAGAAGGAAAGGTGAGAAAGAAGTAGAAAGAATATTTGAAGAAACAAGGACCAAAATCTCCCCCAATTTCATGAAAACTATTAATCTGCGCATTCAAGAAGCTCAACAAACTCCAAGTGGGATAAACTTAAAAAGATCCATAGCTGCGCACATCAAAATGAAACCATTGAAAGACAAAGAATTTTGAAAGCACAAAGAGAGAAACAATTCATCAAATACAATGTTCTTCAATGATACCAACAGCTAATTTTACATCAGAAACCACAAAGGCTGGAAACAGTGGGATGGCACAAAGTTCTTAAAAAAAACAAAAAAAGCTGTCAATCAAAAATTCCGTATCTGGCAAAACTATCCTTCAAAAATGAAGGATAAATTAAGACATGTGCAGATACACTGAGAAAGTGTATCTCTAACAAGAGCGTTTGTCTCCAACAAGCCTGCCCTACAAAAAGTAGTAAAAGCAATCCTTCAGGCCGAAATGAAAAGGCACAAGATGGTAATGTGAATCAACATGAAGAAGTAAAGAGCACTAGTAAAAGAAATTATGAAGTCAGCTATAAAACGCTACAAATTTATTTTTTTGTTGGTAACTCTTTTTCCTGATTTAAATAAATAACTGCATAAGGCAATAATTATAAATGTATGTTGATGGACACAAAACGTATAAAGATGAAATTTGTGACAATAATAGCATAAGGGAGGAGACAATGGGACCACTTTAGAGCAACACTTTTGAATACTTGAAATTAAGTTGGTATTAACATGAACAGATGGTTATAAATTGAGATATTAATGGCAATCCCCAGGGCAACCACCAAGAGAATAATTCAAAAATATATAGTAAATGAAATAAGAGAATTAAATAAAACATCTATTTAACATAAAAGAAGGCAATAATGAAAGAATACAAGATTTAAAAAGACGTATGATATATAGAAGATAAATAGCAAAGTGGCAGACAAATCTTACTTTTTCAATTATATTAAATATAAATAAATTAAACTTTCCAATTAAGAGACTGGAAGAATAGATTTAAAAAACACGATCCAACTATATGCTGTCTGCAAGAGACACTGTAGATTTAAAGATACAACTAGATTGAAATTAAAAGGATGTAAAAGATATACAACACAAACAGCAATAAAAAGAGAGCTGAAGGGGCTACACTAATATCAGACAAAATCGGCACAGTGGCTCACACCTGTAATCCCAGCACTTTGGGAGGCTGAGGTGGGCAGATCACCTGAGGTCAGGAGTTCAAGACCAGCCTGGACAACATGGTGAAACACTGTCTCTACTAAAAATACAAAAAAATTAGCTGGGCATGGTGGCGGGCACCTGTAATCCCAGCTACTTGGGAGGCTGAGGCAGGAGAATCGCTTGAACCCAGGAGGCGGAGGCTGTAGTGAGCTGAGATCACACCATTGCACTCTAGCCTGGGCAACACGAGGGAAACTGCATCTCACAAAAACAAAAAAAAACAAAAAAACAAACTCAAGTTTGAGACAAAAATTGTCACCAAAGACAAAGAAGGACACTTTATAATGAGAAAGGGTCAATCCATCCAGAAGAAATCACAATTATAAATACATTTGAACCTAGCAAGAAAGCCTCAAAACACATGAAGCAAACTGAGGTCTTTGAGGGTAGAGAAGGCAGCTTGGTCCCTAAATATTTGACTTCCATAACCCATTATAGTGGTTAATATCCTATCACTAGGGACTCATTCCTTCGAGTTAAAGGTTTGCCTCCCTTACAGTTCTTTGTTAAAGTATAAATATAGCCCTGGACGCCACCAATTGTGTTGTAATTCCATTTAGCTGAAGTTGGTTTAAGCTCCGTTGGAGCAGTGACTGATAGTGACAGAGACAAATGGTTGAGCCACTTTTAATAGACTCTGTAGGTATGGCCTGGCCTGGGCCCAGGAAGCAAGCAGTGAGAAGAAGCCTCTCCGAGTGGGTAGAAGTATTAAGAACAGAGAAAGAGTAAAGGATGAGGAGCAGGGAGAAAGCTAAGGTATCACAGGGGAACAAAAAAAGGCCCACAGAGAGTGTGGGGTGAAACAAATACTAGACAAGGAGCAGAGCAGCTGGGGCACTGGGTTGTGATGAGGTTCCTGGTTTGGCAACTCAGGGCTGAGGGCAGCATCTGTCCCTAGAAGAAGCAAAAGGTGTGAGAACAGGGAGCAGGCGAGAGCCAGGGATGGCAATGAGCACAGGCCATTCATTGGTAAATACCCAGGAGTTGTGACCAGGTCTGAGCTGCCGAGTGGTTCCTGGAGCACCACAGAGAGGGCGGGAGAGAGGACTGGGTGCTGGGATCCGGCAACAGGCACTGGAAGGCTATAGGCACTGATAGAAAAACCAGGAACCTAGGAAACTCATAGGAACAAAGAACAGCAAGAGGCAAGCCAGACATGAGCTCAGAACTCGGGCAAACGGATGCTCAAATGAGGTTGTGTTTGTGAACGTGCCCGGTTCTGGGCAGATGCTTAGTAACTGTTAGCTGGTTCTAAATATAAAACTGAAGCAAGGCAAGTGGCCAGGACAGCAACTTGATGTTGGCAACAAAAATAGCCCCTACTTATTAACACCTCTTATATTCTGGGCACGTTGCTAGGTACTTTATATTTGTGACCTCATCTAATACTAAAATGACCCTGTGAGGTACACGTTGAAAATTTCAATCTATAGATAAATGTGGATCCTGGTTAAGCAACTTGCTCAAGGCCATTACAACGACGTGAATGACACAGTGCCAGACGGTTTCTCTGGCAGCCTCCGGGCCAGAGTGACAGCCCAGGGTGGCTCTGATCAACATGGTGGCTTAAAAGGAATGGGAGGAGGGGAGCTGACAGCTGGGGACAAGGAACTGCTCAGAGTTCCTCTGGAGTCCCAATCCTCCACTCTTTTTTTAAAGACAGAATCTCATTCTGTCCCTCAGGCTGGAGTGCAGTGGCACCATCATAGCTCACTTTAAACCTCAAACTCCTGGGCTCAAGTGATCCTCCTGGCTCCGCCTCCTAAGTAGCTAAGGTTACAGGCTCATGCCACCATGCTCTGCTAATTTTTTTTTGTAGTGGTAGGGTCTTGCTATGTTACTCAGGCTGGTGTCAAACTTCTGGTCTCAAATGATCCTCTGGCTCAGCTGGGATTACAGGTGTGAGCCACCACACTCGGCCCTCTCCTCTTTTTAAAAGGGGGATTGGGGAAGAGAGCATCAGAGGCCTGAAGACCCACCCTGCTCCTTTCTCTCTCCTTTGAAGACTCATGGTGATTTACCCCACAGGCCAGGAGGCCAGGCACTAGGGCACTAGGGCCACCCTTTCCTGCCCTAAACCTTGCATGGCCTGTTTGTAAATGGAAGAATGCAGTGGAAAGCAGGGGCAAGGAATTAGGAATAAAGACATTTGTGGGCTTAGGGAACCCCAGGAATGGTCTGCTTGCCCCATAAATCTCAATAGCTATAGCTGCTGTTTGTCAAAAGCAGAAGAGTGAGTTTACTTTCTCCACAGCCACCATGACCTTCTATCCTTCCTTTCCCTTCACGCACATCACACACACACACACACACACACACACACAGGAGGGCCACCTCTGGGTGACCCATGCATCCCCTCTCCCTGCCTCATCCTATTAATGGGACCATCACCACTGCTCTTCCCTAGGGGAGGGGAGTTTCCTGTGAATTCTCTTTAACCTTGGACTGGGGTCCAGGGCCAGCCGATGATGGAAAATAAATACGTCATCCTGTGCATCTGAGCAAGAAGAGCTCAAAGCATCAAATATCCAGTCCCCACTTGACGTGGTGGGGGCCAAGGAGGGAGTGGGCTTGCTTAGGGTCACGGAGCACCTCCTGGTACCCAGTCCTCATTTTTGTTCGGCACCCTCCATGGGCTCTCTGGCTCCTGCAAGTGCTCAATGAAAGAGAAGTCTGCAAAAAAAGAGGTAGGTACTTGCCTGGGGACCTAGAGAGCGTCTGACTGTTTTGGGAGTCTGAGAGGAGGCTATTGGAACGCCTTGAGAACTCTGGCCAGTGGTCTCTCCCCGATCCATGTGGCTGTGTGGGGTTGTCTTCAACTATCTTGTTGGAAGCCTGTGGACACTTTCTGCCCCTCTCCCTCTTTCTGTGCCCCACTTGGGTGTGGACTACCCACCTTCCTGTGGGGGCCTGGGTCTGCAGGCCCAGTGATTGGCAGTTATCCTTGTAATAACTTTCATTCGACTTCCTACACAGGGCAAGAGTACTGTGACAGCCGGCTAGTGGTGCCGGAGCTGGCTGGGAACTCACCACCACCCAACTGCAGGAATCCCACGGGACCCAGATCATTCCCCCAGTCCAAGTGCCCTGTGTTATTGCAATCGGGGGTGCTGAAGCCAGCAGCTACATTCTGTTCACTTCTCAAACACCAGCAAAATGTCAACATCACAGCCACACTGAAAAAAAAATACAGTGTTCTGAAATAAAGTAAAAGAAAATAAAATGAAGTCAGTAACTACGGCCCTCGCGCTGGGCCCCACTGCCTGCGTGTCAGTCTACCCTGTTAATCATCACGTATGAGTTTTCAAAGAGCTATTTTGAGAAACATTTAGAAAATGGCTTTTATATAGCTATATATACCTCATTTGTACCCTCCAGAAATGGTCGCTCTGTTTAGCAGCAGATGGCTTTTCTCCACTAGTTTTCTCTTCATTTCTCAGTCAAAGTTAAGCGGGAAGTCAACCCACCCCTAACCCCAGGCGTACACTTATCACCCACAGTCCACCCCGGAGTCAGGGCTGTAGGTGGGGGGCGAGGAGGAAAGGCTGTCGGTTCTCCCTAAGGCACCGTTCCAGAAAACCCAAGGGGACAAAGGCAGCGGGCATGGTGCTGAGAGGAAGGTTCAAAGCTGGGATTAAGGAACGAGCAGAGCCCCCGGGTCGGGGGTAGAATAGAATGTGGCCGCTCTGGTTTGCTGCAGTCAACAACCTGGGTATCTCAAGGTCCTCGAAGCAGGTATAAAAGTATCCCTTTGGCCGCTGGAGAACAGGGGCTGAGCAAGACTAACCACCCTAGCAGCACCTGAGTGCTGTACCTTGGCCTGCAGGAAGCCGCAAGTCAGCCCCGCATGGTTGTCATGGCAACAGCAGTGCTGAGGCTCCGAAGGGCAAGGAGAGGAGAAGGGGGGTGGAGAAGGCACGTGGTGGCTTTTCTGGAAACGCCCATCTGTTTCTTTCCCTTAGGAAACTAAGTCAGGGAACACAACAACAACAACAACAAAGGAGGGATGGGCATCTGGGGTCTAGAAAGAGAAAGGAGAGAAAAGGCTCTGAGATGCTCCAAGAGCAGCTCTCCTGATGGGATGTGCTTCCCTTCCTTTTGGGGGAGGCGAGTGACTGACAAAGAAAAGGACTGGGCGGGCCCCCGTGGGTGGCATCTGTGTAGGAGCCGTGTGCAGGATCAGGGCAGGCTCTGTGACCTCAGGCTTGCTGGGGGCAGTCCTGGTAAGACCCTATCAGCCACAGCAGGATTTCTTCTTAGCAGGGTGGCCGACCTGAATGGTGTCCTCTCTCACTGTGTCTTCTTGCTCCTTGAGGAACCTGGGAGAGGGGAAGAGATAGTGTCAGTGATGGAGAAGTTGATAGGCCCAGTGGCTGGCAACCTGGACCAGCCACCCTCAGGTTACAGGCCATCTGGGCCATATGGAGAGAACCCACCCTCACCACGGCATCAGAGAGAGTCCTGAACATCTGCCTCTGGACAGTACAGGTGCACAACTGTAATTGTAAAGCCAGAGAGTTTAGTCCACATGGATCCTTCAAAACACCTCCTCCAGGAAGCCTCTCCTGATCCTCTAGGTAAGCCTATGTGCCCCTGACAGTATCTGACCCTTCCTCTGTCATGACCCCACCACCCAGCGTCACAACGTGTGGCTTCCCTGGCTGTCTCCCTCCGCCGAAAATGAGTTGTTTGGGACCGAGACCTCTCTTTGGTCTCTGTGCTTCTGCAGCCTATCACAGTCACCAGCACACAGGCGAGGCTCCAAAATATACTGATGGGTTGTGACCTCTGCAATAGGGCTGTGCCATGTGGCCAAAGCTCCAGATTAATTGTAGGAGGTGAGGAATTAAAAATACTGGTGAACACCTTGTCTCTGCTTTATACTTTCAAAACGCTTTTGCATTACACATCTCCCTTGATTCTCTCAACAACCTGTGAGTGGGCAGGGAAGGAAGGCATGACTGGTGCTCCTACCTTCCTGACAAATCTCAGAGAGGCAGGGCGTTTGCCCAGGGAGTCAGGGGCAGAGAAAAGACCAGAATGTTTCCTTCTGATACTCCATAACCCCATCACCTCGCCAATGCAGAGAGGAGTTGTTCTGTGCTCTTAATTACTCAAATAAAAATATTTTTAAATGCCCCAGAATGAGTGCTGAGCACAAAATGCGCTCTGTTAAGTATTTAGTGGATGGATGAATAGATGGAATGAAATGACGGCCTAGATGGATGAATGAATGAGTGAATGCTTAAGTATTGTAAATGAGTCCCAGCGTGGTTTTGTTGTTTAAATTTTTGGTGTAGGCAGGGCCTTAAGGAACCAGTCTTTTCATGTTACCAGCATCATTACCTTGGTTACCTCCCATTGATTCCCCATCACAGCCCCTCTTCTTTCTGGTTTGTACACCCACTCCTTCCTCCCACACCCAGGAACTCACATTATAACCCAATCTTGTCCCCAGCTGGCTTCCAGCTAGTGCCTGCTAAGACTTCAGCCAGTGCTGAGGAGCCTCTGATCTGACCTTTCCCAGAAGGATTTGCATTTAAAAAGAGCATCCCTAGGAAAAGGCAGCCTTTAAGACTCAGAAGAAGACTGCAATGGGGGCGACAGGCAGGGATGCTTTCTTTCCCAACAGCATTGCTTCAGAAAGCTGTTCCTGATGTTGCAATCCCATACAAAGGCCTAGGACCCCACTGCCTGTACTCAGAGGGCTCCAGCCAATAGGGAGGAAAGGGGGATCAGAGGCGTGGCCTGGGTGGCGGGAAATACGGTACCTCCCTGAAGGCAGACACAGCTAGACACAGTAGTTACTGCACCTGGGGAGCACGTCTCTTTACCTGGCCAGATGGAGCAGGGACTCTTTGGTGTTGTGACCAGAGTAGGCGCTGCATTCATAGAAGATCAGATTGTTGTCCTGGAATCATAAAACAGAGTGAATACAAGAGTACTGGAGTGAGAGGAGTGAGAAGGGACTGTGGGGGGTGGTGGGAGAGCCCCCTTGTGCATCTACCTACAGCCTTCACTTCCTCTCGCAGGCCCCTTGACCTCCTCATAATCCTTCCTCACTCTGTACATGGCTGATTTCTGTCTCTACAGGCTCCCTGACTAATGGAAGCTCTGTAACCATCTCCCAGGTGAGCTATAACAATTGTAAAACAACGAAACCATACACTGTCTTAGTGCCTCTTTATACTTTCCCAAATTACTGTCAAGTACACACGTGTTCATTCCAGGTTACACCAGCCCTGTGACTCAGGCAAAGACACAAAGGCCAGGGCAGGCAACATTCTTCCCCCTTCACAAGCAGGTAAGCTGCTGTGACAGAGGGCACTTGGCTGGCTCGTTCAGTCCCACAGTGAGTCAATGGCAGAGCTCCCTGCAGGATGCTTTCCCCAAGACAGTGGCATTCCGTAGGTCTCGGGGACAGGTTTCATGAGGCACTCCAGTAGGAATTCTCTTTCACCCCAGTTAATTAATACTCTAGCTGCTCTGGCTGTCGGCAGTGGTGCACCGGAATGGCCATCAGCTCATTAGGATGAGGCTGTGCTGCCTGCATGGTGCGGGAGCCCTTGGCTAAGGCTCATCGTATTCCACTGATCACTCCCATTAACAGATGACTGGCGTCATGACGACAATGCTAATGGCACAGGGCCCTGGTTTTAGATGGCGTCTTCTTGGAGGCTGATGCCCTGAGGGGATGCAGGCCAGCTGAGTGAGGACAGTTCTGTGGCTGTAGCTCAGGAGGTTCTGCTATGCTCCCAATGCAGCATTCCCCACCTACACCCACAGGCAGCTCCACCCTCTGCCCCTCTCACCCAGCCCCAGGGGCTCTCTCTCTCCCTGTCTGCCTTTCTCTCAGATCTGCCATCTCTTGGGTCAGTCTGTCAAAGAGTAGAAGTTCCATGGGGTGGGAATAGTGGGGAGAGAAGGACATAGGACTTAGAACTGGAAAACATGATTTGCCTTCCTGCTTTGAGTTCTGATCCCACCTCGGATGAGCTGTGATAATACGAATGTATCACTTAACTCCTGAGTCTCAGTGTTTTTTTTTTTTCACTGACAAAAAAAAAAAGAAAGAAAGAAAGAAAATAAAAGAAAACGGATAGAATCTTTAGGTCCAGGTGTATTTTGAAATCTAGAATTTTCTGAATCTTAGAAAGGAAATACATGTATATACTATGTATTATATAACACCCTCAGTGGATTTTAGATAGCACTCTATAATCAAACATATTACTATTGCTTCAGTGAGATATTTGAATATTCACCTTTTCAAAGCGAGGTTACAACCATGAATAGCCTCATGTCATTTCTGGTCAGATTTTTCTGCCAGATAAAATGCAAAACAACCCTTTCTGTTTTCAGAGCTTTTCGGATTTTGGAACTGTGGACATGTAACTGTCTAGTGACCCTCCATGTAGACACCTGTCAGCCCCTTCCTCCTCCTTTTTCCTTGAGTCTTACCATCTGTCTCATTCTCCCAGGCTCTGAACTCATGAAACCCTGTTTAGGACGAGCATGCGAAGAATTACAGAATCATGGGGCTGGTAAGCACCCCATCCTCCCAGACACACAGTTTCATGAAAACCAAACTCTGAGGCAGTAAAAGAAGCCAAGGAACCACGCTTTGTTGCCTGATTTCCGTTAAGCCCCATTGATTCCATTTTTGGGCAAGAGGCCCCATGCTTATTTTAATGGTAGGTTTTCCAGTGTGTCTCCTGGGTTTATCTTGAGTTCACGACTTTGAGGCTCCATCCTGACAGAAAGGATGAACTCTCTAACACAGCGGTCTACAGAAGAACACACTGCTTTACAGAGAGTGAGTTTCTCATCCCTGGGGCTAATCAAGTGGAAATGCAGATTGGAGGGGGATTGAAATAAGTAAACTATTGCTATCTTAGAATTTATAATTCTGAGTTACAAGGAAGGGACTTTAGGATAATTCCCCATACCCTAGTGGTCCCTAACCAATCCCGTCTTGCAACCTGTGGCTTTCTATGCAGAGTTCTACATGCACAGGAGCTGGGTCATTCCCATGACGCCAAGACACCCATCTTTCCCAGTTGCTCCCTTCCCATGGCACTTCCAGAGAAAGTCCCCACCAAGGCTCCTGGGCACTTGCCCGACTTCCCTCGGGGTTACACTCCGTCGCTTGCTCTTTACCTTGGCAAGCTGCTCTCCGAGGCCCTGGGGGACTTCCCGCTCTTTCTCGTTGTCAAGCTTATTACCCAGCAGAAGAACAGGAACCCGGTCTCCCACAGCTTCCTGCAGAACAGAAAATGTTTTCAACTGAGAGGCGTGTCACAGGATTGCCCAGAGGGCAGACTGACAATGTCGGCTGGACAGATGGGACCTGGCTTGAGAATGCCCTGCTGCCATAAAAAGTGAGGCCATAATAGAATCATCCTGAAAGCAGAAAACAGCCGCTTTCTCCAAGAGACTCCGTTTATCACACTTCTGCAAGGTGCCCCAGGCCTGCCTGTGCTGTCTCCCAGTCCCTGTGTTGTGCAACGACCACTCCCCCTTCACGATGCTCCTTGGATCTTAGATGGAACAGCAGGCCCCCAGGTGTGCTGGATGAGGGGACAGTTGATGCCAACGGGCCACGTGCCCCCTTCCAGGGCATTCCTAAATGGCCAGGCTTAGTCCGACGGACCAAGGCCATCAATGCCCCATGGCTTGGAGTTGTTCTGGAGGCTGCTTGGATTAGAAACTGTATCACCAGAGGCCTCATGATAGCACATAAGCTTCTGAGGGTTGGATCCAAATCTGCCTCATGGTCTTGCGCCCACAAGGCTCCATAAATGACTGCTATGTGCCTCGCTGGAGGCGGGCACCACAGACCCCTGTCACTGGGTGCTCTGGCTCTGAAGAAAGCCCTGTATGAGAAGGAACGCTGTGGCCATAGCAGCTGCACTGCTTGGGCCAGAAGTCACAGGTTTATTCAAGGTGTCACACTGTTTACTCCCGCAGTGGCTGTGGCTTACCAGCCAGGGGCCTCCTCCCGGGTCTCCGCCTCCTCCCTGGTGAAAAGAGCACTGTAGGTATCTCTCCTTAGGGCGCCCAAAGGGCCCGGGACCACCGACTGCCATTGAGTGAGTGAATGTGGTAATGTGCACATTGAAGAAGGTTGTTATTTTTACTTAAATATTTAATTAGGGGCTTTTAATCATAATTTAGTAACAAATAGTTATTCATTGTAGCTAAATGTTTTACTAAATGGAGGGACCTGTGGGATAACAGAAGCTAATAAGCAGTTACAGTTTTGCCAATACTTTAGCTGCTTTACTTGAGCATTTCAAATAAATGTCCAAAGTGCATCTTACAGGTATACCGATTTTAAGTTTAAATGCTATTATGTTTGAAATTAAGCCTCAATGTTTCCTTAATCTGTGCATTCATTTTTACTGCGTTCAATAGGGGGAAAAAATTCTTATTTACCAAACGAGAAAGTTAAGGCTCAGAGAATCCAAAAGAACCTTCAACGCCATAAGCACTGAATTATGAGAACTCTTGAGTATACGGGTCCTCATTCTCCAGACTTTTCCTCTAGATTCTTATTTCCAATCAAGTCTCTGCTACTTAGTGTCTTATTAACTGGAACTCTCTAAACATGGTATCTATTGGTGAGATGATAATGTGTGTTTGCAATGATGACTCAAAGGCACTACAAGATCTTAGAGTGTCTTCTGACCCCTCAAAAATAGATTAAATTCTGGACACTGCAGTTGATGTGCTAAGTGGATTGTACATATTCCAACTACTTGAAAGTGAGAAAGCCACTCACGGCACATATGAAATCCTGTGGCCCCCTATTAGCTAGAGCGTTCGCTAATGGGAACACCCCCTCCTCTGACCGTGCTGTGCCACAGGATACTTGTGTGAAGAGCTTTTCACGGAAAGGGAAGAAAGGCGGAGGAAGCAGGGAAATGGGCCAAGCAGCTTGCTGTTTAGAGCACATGGGAGAGAGATATTTGTAGATTTATGTGTGAGGAATGATTAAGGCTTGTGGGATTTCTTGACATGGAAACTCTGGAAATATGAGCATCAGACTTGAAATCCCAGGGCAGAATTCTACCCCGGGTTTTGTTATTATTTGGAATGGGCGATGGCTTGCAGAGGGCATGATGGATACTGAATGACCCAGTAGGATGAGGTAGGGAATGGGTCATAAACCCAACATCTGGGTCCTGTGCACCATAAACAGCAATGGTGCCTCTTCCCTCCTGGGAAAAGAAAGGGCAGGTTTCTTCTTTTTTTGGGTGGGAGGCCGAGGTGGGTAGATCACAAGGTCAGGAGTTCAAGACCAGCCTGGCCAAGATGGCGAAACTCCGTCTCTACTAAAAATACAAAAATTAGCCGGGCGTGGTGGCGGGTGCCTGTCATCCCAGCTACTTGGGAGGCTGAGGCAGAGAATTGCTGGAACCCGGGAGGCAGAGGTTGCAGTGAGCCGAGATCCTGCCACTGCACTCCAGCCTGGGTGACAGAGCAAGACTCTGTCTCAAAACAAAAAAACAAAAACAAACAAAGAACAAAACAAAACAAAACAATACCAAAGCAATTCCTGGATATAAAAACAAAGGAGCTTAGAAGGAGCAGAAAAAAAAAAAATTTAAAAGCCACGCATCCAGCAGGAGCTGCGATTTCTTTGTATTGGTCTTTTCTTATGCAGCCACTCTGGACAACTCGTTTCCCTCCAGGGACCCTGGCCTGCCACCGAGAAAGGAGAATTAAACTCATCTCCAAAGATGTGGCAAAAACAAATGAGAATATCCATAGGACCAGAGAGTGTGCTAACTATCACAGTCAGTCACCGTCTCCCTGGCCCAGGTCATCAGTCTCTGACACAGGGGCAGGGAGAGGAGCTGGTCTTGGGGAAGGTATCTCATGGTCCTCTCTGACTTCAACCCCAAAAGTCTTGAACTATCTGTCTAAACTTTATACCTTTCTCATACCTAACTAGGTTTTCAGCCTGCATGCCACTTGGCACGAGATGTTCAAAATTACCTCCTCGATGAAGCAACATCTCTTTCAAGCCTCCTAGGGCTTTGGTGAACAGGTCTCAGGTCTACTCGAACTCTGATGTTGAGACTGTGAGAGATGTTGGTAAAAATCCCATCGGCGTGACAGGTTGCAGTGAAGTCATCTTAGCTCCTTCATTGGGCACACAATCTCTCTTTAGGAGACGTGGGTTCTGCCCTAGCTCTGTCACCATCTCTCCATGTGACTCATCTGAGTCTCTCCTCTTTTCTGTGTCTCTCTGTTCTGAAGCCAGGTTCTGTTCTATGACCCTCTAACAGAGAGCCCCCCTCCACCTTCAGTCATTTCAGCTGACTTTCTGTGAACTTGAGCTTGTTGGAAGACAGACTTGTTGAAATTCAAAAGATCACCCATCTTTGACTTTAACAAGAGCTGTCAACTTGGAGCCGTGGATTGGCATTCAGCTCAGAATGTGCAGCTGTTGGGCTTGGTTGGTTGTTGCCTGTGTGCATGTGTGTGTGTGCGTGTGTGTATGTTTTAATATCTATTTGCTAGGAGGCATGAAAAAGCACTTAGCTGGGATAGTGCTGCTATTTCTCTGGAGCCAGAGCAAGAATTTTTTCAGCACATTAAAGCATGCAGTTATGCTAAGAAAAAAATGACTGCAAAATTATATCTTGGGGGTTTCCATATTTATCCATCCCCTGGACTATGAGTCAAAACAAGATTTATTTGTGTGGTTCGTTTTAAACTGCCAGCACTTCAAGCTCAACTTGGAATGTGGAGAAAAAAAATCAAACTATTTTTTGCACCATGCTGTACATTGTTACCAATGACAAAGATCGCAGAATGAGGTTGAGCTAGCAGCCCAGGAAGGGAGAGGGAAGTGGGCCAGGACCCCTTGAGCTGAAGAACTGTCCTGCTTTGAGAGAGAAGCAAAAAGGACTGAAAAGTAAATGAACACCTTCTTTTCAGGAGCAGATTTCAGCCATGGACCACAGGACAAGAGAGAAGCAGTGCAGTGTGGCAAAGCCCTCGCTTCTGCATCGGGTGGTGCTGCTGACAAGTGTGGGCGCCTCTGGGAAAGTCACTTCCTCTTTTTGGATCATAGTTTTTCTTACTTATAAAACAAGAGGTTGCATTAGATTAATCTCCACGTTTTTTTCCAGCTCGGAAACACTGGTCTATTCGGCTTGACTCTGCCAATTCTATTTCACTTCCTCGACTTATATGCCTAGCAATCTAGTGCTATCAGAACGGCAAGAGGCTCTCAACAAGAAGTTCAGCATCCCAGGACTGCAGACACTGGGGGCCAGCAATCTGGCTCTGGGGGAAATACCAGCCCATACAGGCTTGTACAGGCTGGCGTTCTAAATTCTATTTTCTCTAACTGACACAGGCCCCAGAGTCTCCTGATGTCCAGTTTGTCCCATGGCCACACATGGGGCCTTAGAGCCTGACTAGTTTCTTTTCCAGATTGGAATGGTTAAACCAATTCTACCCAACTGAGATAAGAAATCGGGGGTGGGTTGGAAATGCCGAGTTGGCTGAAAGACTGCCTGCAGTGACTTCCCATAAGGCACTCCGGAGAATCGGCACAGAGTGCGTCTGGGCCCTGCTTGGGCCTCTTCTGCAGAAGGCCTGCAGGCAAGGTAAAGTTGTCTGGGCTGGGTGAAATAGCAGAACAAGGGTAAGGCCACAGCCTTCCCACCTCATCAAGCAGCACCGGTGCTCTCTTGCACCAAAGGATTTTGGTTCCCTCTGGGCTGGAAGGACCCTCCAGAATCTTCTCACCACACACATTCCTGCTCCGTCTTGGCCTCCCAGAGACAGAGTCAGATGCCATCATACACTGTAGAATCTGGGGGCCAGGAGGGGGCATTTGGTCTGCTTCCTCGTTGAATGATTGGCCAAAGTTTCATGGCCAGGAAGTGACCAAGATGGGATAGTAAGAACTTCCTTTCAGGGAGCTCCACTACCTCCCCCGAGCATCTGTTCCCACCCCACACAACCTCTTCCAAGAGTAAGTCTTTCCCATGCAGGCATGTACAGCCACCGAAGCCCTTCTTTCTTGTATGCTTTTCAGGTTGAGGGAGGAAGGGGGACAACAGCTGGCCACCATTCCCTCACTAATAAGGCTTCAGAACCTTGAAGACTGTTATTAAAGCTCCCCCTCCACCCTCCCATCTCTGGGGGAGGGAGTTGGTAAAGTGCTTGGAGCTCTTTGGAAAAATAAGGTGCTCCACAAATATAAGGTACTTATTATTTTCAGTTCCCCTCAGATCAAATTAGGTGTCAAGTTTTAATCTATCACCTGACACCTCTGATTGCTGGTTGCCAAGGCAGAATGACTTAGCTTTTCAAGAATCTAGAGCATAATTGCATTTCTGATGCCACCGTTCCACACCTTTGACACGCACTCTGCCATTTGACACAGCCCTCCTGCGCTTGTTTCTGAAACTCTGCGCTGCTGAACTGAACGCGTTTCCTGGTCTATCACACTGAGTCCCAGAGCTCCTGGTGTGTGCTGGACATGCCGTAGAGGCTTAGTAAATTCCTGGTGAGGGGTCACAGGCGTCTTTGAAAATGATTGAGAGCGCTTCTACTCGAAGGGTCATCCCTGTACCACCAGCATCAGCCTCACCCGAGAACTTGCTAGAAACACAGAATGGCAGGCCCCAGCCCCGACTTGCTGAAGCAGAGACTGCATTTTAAGAAGGTCCCCAGGAGAGTCCCATATACATTAGGGTTCAAGGAGCACTTGTTTAGGCCAGGAACAGTGGTGGCTGAGAATCAAAATTCCCTGAGGAACTGTTAGTTTTGTTATTTTTTTGTTTTGTTTTTCAGGCCCTGAATCACTCTGGGAGAGAAGGCCCTGGCCTCTGTTCCCTTTAAAAGCTCCACATGTGATCCTGATGTTCATCCAGGTTTAGAATCATCAATTAGAGCTTAAACATATCTTCGGCTAATATCTAAAAAAAAAAGGAAAAACTCAAACTATAAATCACGTAGAAAAGCCCTGTCTACACATAAACCATTCTGATTTAACTATGGACGGATTCCCCATCTGAGCCAGGCTTCCTGAGCCCACAGACACACCAAGGCTTCCATGGGCCTCTCAGCAGCCACACGGCACGGATGCATTTCAGCCCTGTCCCACAAAGGAATGTTTCTGGAGGATGGCTAAACTCATGCTTCAAGCTGTGATGATGGCCTTCCGAGATTTCTTCACCTCCACCACCAAACTGTTCCATGTCTTCTTCTAGATCCCAGGCTCTGTGCCAAACAGGAGCCTTAGAAATGACACCCCTTAATGACAGCAGAGAGCACAGTTCCACAAATTTGTCACCATCCATTCCCATTAATCCCAGACCACCTGGAGGCTTAGCCCTAGCACACACCAAAATTTAGATATTGGGGGACAACTAAGTGCCTGTGAAAAGGACAGGTGACCCTGGAGAAGTTAGGGCTTCCCTTTCTTCACTTTTGAAGGAGATGGCTATACTAGACGGGAGATTTTCAAAGGGAATCCCTTTTGTCTAACAAAATTGTACTTGACCTCCAATATGCTGAAAAAGGCAAGGCAGCTCTGACAGAGATGGGGTTCGAGGGACCCGGATCCATGACCACTAAACCTTCCCCTGCCACCCACCTATCTCTGGGGAATGTCAGTCTGATTCCAGGGCTCCAAGGAAGAAAGTCTGGAAACCCCTGGATTAGGTAATCCCTAACTTCTCTCCTGGTGCTTAACTTCTGTAAGGAAGATAAATCTGCTTGGTGCTGCCAACAACAAAAGTAAAAAAACAAGAGAAAAACCATGTCATACACTCCAAAGTTTAGAAAGGAATTACGGCCGGATTCACCCATATCATTTGCTTCCATTATTAGTTTGGCGTATAGGCAATCCACCAGCTACATTTCAAAACTTGCATTTTTCTCATTTATAAGTGTGTTAGGCACAGTGATTTTGAGAAATAATAGGCATTAGGCAAATTCTTGAGAAACTCTTGAATCTGGCTTCCATTCTGTTCCTTATTTTTTCTTGGTAATCAGAAGGATGCAGATTAACAAGAGAGAGATGGGTGACCTAGACAGGCGAAACTACAGAGAAACAGATTTGGGTGAAAGGGATCACGGATCTTAGAGCCGGAAGGGTCAAAGACATTGACAACTCCAAGATTCTGCCTTCAGAGCAATGTGGTATCCATTCATTCATCCAGTAGTTGTTGGCCTCACGCAAAGCATCCAGGTTATGGCAACAAAGATGCAGCTTCTGTTCTTAGGCAGCACGGAGACACAGGCCAGTAAAGAAGCGATTTGTAGCAGCGTGGTAAGTATGTGACGGTATATGCAAGGTATTATGCAGCTTCTGTTCTTAGGCAGCACGGAGACACAGGCAAGTATGTGACAGTATGTGCAAAGTATTAGGGACTTGGAGCAGAGAGCTGAACATAAGCTTCATGAGGGCCGCAGCCTTGTCTCTTTTATTCACTGCTAGGACTCCCAGGCCCTAGAATAGTGCCTGCAGGTGTTTTTAACAAATAAATGAACAAACCGTGAATCCTGCTGGTGGAAGGGGTGGGACATCCTACTTGGCTGTTCTGTGAAGGAATCAGCCGAGGCCTGGTAAAGAGCAATTTGTAGCTTGTCCACACCGGCATTGGCCTGCATTGGAGCCTGCATTGGAGTGGTGGAAAAACTTTTAAAAAGCACGTACAAAGCGACACATTGCAAGTAGGAATCATAAAAGTAGAGTCTCCCAGATAATTCAGAATGCAAAGACAACACAGTTGCTCTTGGGCCCTGCCAAGACCCTTGATTTTGAGGTGAGCCTGGAGCCCTCACATTCTGGATCAACCTTCTCTTGTGTGAAGAGCTGTGACAGAGGCCCCCAAACATTGCATGGTGTGGCTCCCGGGCAGGGCATAGCTGGGCCTACTGGAGCTGGAAAGACTCGGGGGGTGGGGAGAGGTGCTGGTGAGAATGAGGGAAGAATCTGGTTGTGACTCAAACACTGAGTTCTCCAGGACCCTTCCTTGACACTCCACTATGTCCCCTCTCCCAATCCAGTCCCATTGACTCATGGCCCAGCAACGACACAGCTGCTGGCAGAATCTGGATTTTCCGTGTCCCTCTCTCCACGAGGGCAGGGACTGTGTCTGTCTTGGTCACTTCTGGGTCCCCAGTAACTAGCCTGGTACCGGGAACTCGGATGAACAGAGGAACAAACGCCTGCATCAGTTTGCTCCTGGAAAAGGCAAGTTCTGAATCAGATTTTCAAAGTGCAGAGGCTCGGGTGGGAGATGGACAGAGAAGAAAAGAGAAGCTACAATCAAGCCTAAATGCTCCTAGGAAGGTCGCCAGCTCACCTCCACGCTGCTCAGCCACCGCCGGACCGACAGGAACGACTGCTTGTCTGTGAGATCGTACATGACGATGACACCATCGGCCTTTCTGAAGAACTGCTGGGTGATGCACCGGTACCTGCCACAGAAGGGCCACGGGTCAGGCATGCATGACCTTCCCCCTGGAGCCCCGAACTTCAGGCAGCTCCTCACCTCTCCTGCCCAGCCGTGTCCCACAGCTGCAGGGCCACCTGAGAGTCGTCCACGTTCACCGTCTTCACACGGTAATCAATGCCTGCAGGGTGAAACGGGCCTGTCAGGGCTGCCCTGGGCCAGGGCACCTCACTTCCAAATCAGGAAACGAGGCTTCCAATGTCTGAAATCACATCAGGCCCAAGGTGACAACCCTCCCTGCGCAGCTCGTGGGAGGCAAAATGGAGAAAGAACAGAGCACTGGACGGGGAGGCAGAGCACTGGACAGGGAGGCAGAGCACTGGACGGGGAGGCAGAGCACTGGACGGGAGGCAGAGCACTGGACGGGGAGACATGGGGCTTCAGCTCTGGTCCTGTCTCTGCCACTTACTAGCTGTGGAACCTTGATCAGATCACTTAACCACTCTGAACTGTGGGCTCTTCACTGTAATACAAGCCATATGCTCTTTCTTTCCCTCCCTCCCTCCTTCCCTCCCTCTTTTCCTTCCTTCCTTCCCCCTTCCTCCCTCCCTCTCCCCCAACTTACTTTCTTTTTCTTTCTTTCTTTCTTTCTTTCTTTCTCTCTCTCTTTCTTTCTTCCTTTCTTTCTTTCTTTCTTTCTTTCTTTCTTTCTCTTTCTTCCTTTCCTTCTTTCCTTTCTTTCTTTTTCTTTCTTCCTTTCCTTCTTTCCTTTCTTTTTTTTTCTTTCTTCCTTTCCTTCTTTCCTTTCTTTCTTTCCTTTCTCTTTCTTTCTTTTCTATCTTTCCTTTCTCTTTCTTTCTTTTCTTTCTTTCTTTCTTCCTTTTTCTTTCCTTTCTTTCTCTCTTTCTTTCTTTCTTTCTTTCTTTCTTTCTTTCTCTCTCTCTCTCTCTCTTTCTTTCTCTTTCCTTCTCTCTCTCTCTCTTTCTTTTTCTTTCACCTAAAATCCTTTAAAAGGCCCCCTAGTAAAAATCAAATGTCCTATGGGGATGGACTCCATCAACCAATCCAAAGGTATGTGGAGGAAGAAGAAGGAGGGGAGGAGGAACAGGAGGAGGAGGGTAGGAACTGGCAGGTAGAGGAAAGGACAGAACAGAAGGGGTAAGAGAAAAAAATCACAGGCAACGTTCACCCTTGACATGGGTTAGGGCTCCTAATCCTACCACTGGGCTGTTCACAACCATCTCTCCAGGGGTGTGACCCTACCTGGGGTCCTCAACCCCAGAGAGAGGGGGCAAGGTCAGTGAAGTGCATTCTGCACCCCACAGCAGCTCTCGGAGGTCAGGACCTCAACACAGGCGTTTTAATACAGGTCTTCTCCACTCCTGCATCCTGTAAGAATATTCGCAAAGGCATAAAGAGGTTCAAAAGTACATCCCACCACCAGCACCATAAGTTCGAGATCTTAGAACTTTAGGGTATCTCCCACAACCTTCAGAAAGGCCTCTGGAGGGCTCAGGAAGACAAACAGCAACAGCAGCTTGGACAGATAGAGACAGAAGAGACCAAACAGACAACAAAGAGGCAGTAAATGGAAAAGGTCATCCCAGCCACTGCTGCTGGGCAAAGGCTAGTGCATTAAGGACTCACGAGTGAGGAGAGGTGGGAGGATCATCCACTTCCAGAATGTCAGGGGCAGCAGGGAGTCTGGAGGCCCTCTGCTTCACAGACAGGGGCCAGAGAGGAGTGCAATGGTCTGGGCTGAGAGTGATTTCTCCCATTAATAGAATGCTATTGCCAGTGTTTCTATGTGCTGCCTCTCTACCTTCACAGAGTCCCCCTGTGACATCCATGTGAGTTATCTGCACACACGTGCACACATGCATATGTACTCATGCACACACATTCACACACACACCGAGAGATGAAGCACGAGTCATCAGCAGTCGTGCCTCGCCTGAGCTGGTCGGTAGCCAGGTAAGCTGCAATCCCAGCTCTGAGGCTGACTGCCACTCCTGTAGCCAGGCTCAGGGCATAGGACACAGGCAGCTTTGTTTCACCTAGAAGGCCCAGGGCTAAGTGCTCCCAGCAAAACAGATGACAGTGGCTGGAAGGTGAATCCAAGGGTGCGTTTTCTTCCTGGCTAGAAGTGGAGGGGCTTTCCTGGTCTGTGCTCTGGGAGACAGAAGGGGCTGCCTGCTTTCTGGTAACAACCGAAGGGAAAGGCATCCATGGTCATACAGCTTCAGGGCCAGATCCGAAACCAGCCAGTGCTCCCCGAGGACAGAGCCCTCTGCCTGTTGGTAAGGCTCACAGGTAGAGGGGCAGGGAGTTTGCTGGGGCAGCTGGGTCTTGGTTGCCCTCAGCTCCTGCTCCACCTCATGGGCTAGGTGCTTTGCTGGAGGACAAGCAGCTGTCTCTGGCGAGGAGTGAGATGTGCAAAAGAATGTGCTGGAAAAATGTTCTGTGCCGTGGTGAGCTTGGTGAGACTCCCTGCTGAACACGCGATGTGTTTCTCTCTGCAGCCTCAGACAGGCAGGCCGAGGAAGCAGATAAACAGGCTTCCGGGGGCTGGGTGTGAGGGACACAAGGAGAAGACGAGGAGGTGGGGATGAAGAGGCAGCGTGTGCAAACATGAAGCCAGAGAACACAAGTCCAACAGGATAGTAACACGGAATAACTGGGGACGAGAGGGCCTGGATTAAACTGATTTAAAGACGACCACCAGTTCTGAAATCCCAGGAGGCAAGAGACCTGTGTTGTGCGTTCCTGTCTCAGCTCTGCCACTGACCATGGATGCAGCTCATTTTGGGGGGGTTCTCCCTCCTCATCGGTAGACGGCAGTGGGATGGAGGGATGAAGGGATGAAGGGGCTAAGTTGGATGTTCACAATCTTTAGGTGCGGCTGGAACATTCAATTGTCACATCGAGGTGACCCTTGTTTGCAAGCGAATTGCTTCCCGAAGGATGGCTCAAGTCAGGAGCCTCCTGGCACCTTGAAAGGTACTGTGGAGATGGTGTGGGTTAGCGCTGGGCTGATGGTTGCCAGGAGGGTGACCTTAACCTTTCTCGAGGTGACAGCCCTGAGCTGTCATAAGGCAGGAGTGATGGGGAGCAGTGGCAGCAAGTTGCTCTGGAGAAATACCCTAGGGGGCTGCTGCAGGGACTTCTCTGTAGAGATGGGCAGTGGGACAGACACTGGACCGGTGGCCAAGAAAGGGCTGGGGCATTCTGCCAGAAACAGCTTCTGGAAGAAACACCTTGGGTTCTGGCCTGTGACTTAATGCAGGGAGGTTGTGAACCAATGTGGTGTAGTGGGAAGAACGCTGGACTCGGAGTGCTGGGTTCCAGGGACTTTGGCTAACTCGAATGATCAGTCTGTTGTGGATCTCCATTTTCTCACTTACAACATGAGGATGTAATTAGACCATTCCTAAGGTTCCTTCCAGATCTAGCATTCTGCAAAAACCATCAGTGTTGTCTCCAGGATGCCTGCAGGGCTCAAGCACCTGCTCTTGAAGGAGCAGGCTGGGCCCTGGGTGGGGCAGGCAGGGTGCCCCAGTCACCAGTCGCACTGTAGCAACTTGAATTTCACACAAGCTACTGGTCCAGTACAAAACATTATGAGGGAGTGGGAGATCAGGAAGTTGGAGGACCCCTCGGAGGATTGAGGTGAGCTGGAAGAACAGCCAAAGCCCTGCCACTGGGCTCTAGCTGCTGCCCTTGACAGGAGATTGGATGGAGTCCTGTTCTGGGGGTGGGCAGTTTTGGCCCGAGAGGCTGTGACTCTGTGGCTGTTATATCTCTTTAAAGGGGGCAGCCTGCAGGTGGCTGGTACGACATCTGCTTCCTGACATGTGTCCCAGAGCAGGGCCTGCAGTGTGGCAGGGAAACTAATTTGAGCTGCTGCTCGAGCATGTGTGGAGCAGTGTGATGAAGGGCATCCTGATTTGGAACCTTTGATTTTCTTTTTCCCCCTTCCTAAACTGTAGGGTGTTTCCATAATTGGCCTCCTGGGAAGTGCAAATGAGTCTGATTTTCTATTTTTCAGGGCCTTCCATCTCAGGGCCACAAGTTGAAAATGTAAACAGACCCTGATTTTGTTGTCAGGAGAGGCAGGCCTCATGCACACTGATCGGGGTACATGGCTCTGAGGCCTGCGGGCTGGGCATCCTCTCCCTGCCTCCCCTAGGCCTGTGCCAGAGCCAAGACCGTAGGGCCTCCCCCATGGAATGCCCTCAGGGAGGGCAAGTTGACCTCCTGGGCGCTGTCTCCTGTGTTACCACACTCAGCACACTCCCAGCTGCCCCTCCCTCAAGACCAGATGTGGCCAGACTCTTCTGGGTTTGGTTTGCAGGCTCTTGCTTCTTCCCATCTGGGTCCCAATTTTTGTCTTGGGATGCTCTCAGTCTCTGGGTGAAGTTGAGCAGAAGGAAAGCGATGGGAAGATATTCCAGGTGTGATAACAGTGTAAGAAAAGGCCCGGCAGGAAGGATGGGACACCTGAAGCACACAGGCACAGACCCCTCTTTGGGAGAAATGTTAGAAAGGTCAGTTTAGGGTAAGAGAAGGAAAATGGAGTCTCCCCAGGAAGGACTCTGGGCTGCTCAAAGTTGGTCTTGTAGAACCAGATTGTCACACAGCCAAAGGTCGAAGATGGTTGAGTCAGAGACCTAGGCTTGGAGGCAGTCTTAGGGTGCTAATATGATTTGAATTTGTGTCCCCATCAAGATCTCATGTTCAATTATAATCCCCAATGTTGGAGGTGGGTCCTGGGGCAGGTGATTGGATCATGGGGGTGGATCCTTCATGAATGGTTTAGCACCATCCCTTTTCCTCATGATAGAGTTCTCACGAGATCTGGTTGTTTAAAAGTTTGCAGTACCTCACCTGTCCTCTATTCCTCCTGCTCTGGCCATGTAAGACATGCCTGCTTTCCCTTTACCTTCTGCCATAACTGTAAGTTTCCTGAGGCCTCCCCAGCCATGCTTCCTGTACAGCCTGCAGAACCATGAGCCAGTTAAACCTCTTTTCTTTATAAATTACCAGTCTCAGGTATTTCTTTATAGCAGTACAAAAACACACATACAGGGACCTAGTTGCAACCTCTCATTTTTCAAATGAGAGAAAACTGAAGCCCTAAGAGGCATCACATCCTCTTGAGGTCACGCAGCTTGTCAGTGGCAGGGCCCAGATGAGGACTCAGGACTTCTGATGTCTTACTGAACCTCAGAAGCCCCTCCTTCCTGCACCAACCTCTGTTCACCTCCAGAGGCAGACAAGCATCCTCACCTCTCATGGGGTGCTAAGTGCATACAACTCAATTGAGGGACACTATGGCATGGAATAGAAGGTAGTTGAGGGGAAGATATCAGCACCAACCAACTGATGGGAATGTGAACAAGCCTCTAACCTCTCTGGACCTCAGTTTCCTGATCTGTCGACTGGGCTGAACAGTACCTGTCCCCTAGGGTTGTTGTGGAGATAGATGGAAAGGATGACTATAAAAGCTTCTGGTAAATATTCAGGTCATACAAATATATTTTCAAGTACAGTTGACTTATCAGCTCGGTGGAACAGGCATGCAATGTATTTGGTTTTTGTTGAGTGATTCACCTTTCTGTTGAGTGATTCAAGCTAAAAGGTCCGTATGCCCTTGGGTCTCACCACATATTCCAGTGCAACCCTCAACTGTGGGTGAAGGGATTAAAGGCCTCTATTTAAATAAAATATCACCCAGAGTGGGAACACATTAAGCCATGATCATCCATTAATGGCTGAGCCTAATGAGCTTCCACATTGAAGTCCAGCTGTCACCCAGCAGGCTGGGGACTTAGGACAGATACAATGTGATGGGTAAAAGAAGCCTTCCAGGAGCGAGGCCAGGATGTAGCAGGCCCTCAGGAAGGCAGGGGGATGTGTGGCCAGATGTGGGTCTTGGGAGGAGTCCCAGGCAGTTCGGGGGCAGCAGGAAGACCCAGGGCCCTGCTGACAGCGGGGAGGAGTGGTCAAAGGGAGGAGGCACTCACTGAAGCGGGGAAAGGGACCCAAATCTACCTTTACCAAATTTAGTTCCATAAACCCAGGGTTGGACTTATGAAGTACTCCAGGGTCCCATCATACACAGGATGAGCTTAGCAGCGTGAGGGGAGGTGGCTTCATCTTGCCCCTCCCAGCCTCTCTGTTGAACACAGCAGACACCAGCATCCCTATCGGCCAATCCCCGTGGCCCTTCCCATGGGCCTCTAATGCCCCCTCCCCTGGGCCTCCTTCTCATAAAGTCCTTTCCCAGAGATGGCCCTGGGACCCATCTCGGGAGGAGAACTCACCCACAGTGGCCGCCATGCCTGGGGAGAACCGGTCCTCACAGAACCTCCTCAGGAAGGACGTCTTCCCCACCGCGGAATTGCCGACGAACACAATCTTGAAGAGCCGGTCGGGGGCGGAGGGAGAGCTTTCCTCCTGCGGACGGCACACAGTCTGACCAACTGCAGGGAATGGTCCTGCCAGCCCCTGCCCCAGCCACCAGAGGCCCTTCACCCATCCCCACAGTGGCCCGCAGGGGGTGCAGACCGGCCTCCAGACCTGCACAAGAGAGGCTGCCACAGCCTCAGAATGCAGTGAGCATAGTTGGTCTTGGGGCATGGAGGCTTTTTCCAGCATCCGCAGGAGGGAGGAGAAACAGCCACCCAAGTGACATTCCCTGTCCGCCTCCTGTGGCAGGGAGGCAGAGGCCGACCCTGGATTCCGGGGGGATGGAGGAGGCAGCATGTTCACGGATAAGGACAGCTCAGTGCTCCAAGTGCGACAGGGCACAGAGGAGGGGCCTTACCACCATGGCCTGCCAAAGTGCTGCTTTTACAGGTGTGAGCCACCATGTCCAGCCCACAGTTCCTCCAAGAGGAGGCAGGAATTTTTTCTGAAGGGAAGGACAAGGTGGGGCGTTTGCAGAGAGAAGGAGAGAAGGATGAAAGAAGGCTTATCCACATCACGGGGACAGAGACGTCCCAGGTTGGGACAGGGAGTTCCTTATTTCAGCCCTATCCTTGGCAGCCTGGACTAAACGGAGGATGCTCTGGCCTCCCTGAATATTGCTCTCCATGCATCTCATCAGCTCCCATCGAGGCACCGCCATCCTCCTTGTGTAACTGAGGCACGAGGGTCTCCACTCAGGAAGCCGGGAAATGCTAGGCTGCTGGGCAAAGCTTCCCAGTCAGTCAGTCACTGCTGCTCTGTCTCTTGGGCCCAGCAGAGGGAAAGGGCTGGGACATGAAAGCCCAGAGGGGAGTGAACTTGACCTAGGACAAAAAGCAGGTAGGAGGTAGAGTAAGGAGCCACCTTCCAGCACAGCCTCCTGCTGAGCAATGATCATTCACTCCAGGGAGCTGCCACTCAACCGCAGGCAGGCATCGTGCCTTCAGGCCCAGCTCAGCGATGTCTGATCACACGGGGAGGCTCTTTTGAATCTATTTAAAAGTGAATTTGGGGGAATTAGCTCCTCTCATTAAGCAAATACTATAATGTAGTGGCAGTTGTATTAGCAGTACTCGAGTTCAGATAAAAAGCCATTAACTGCCTTTTGGAGAGAAATCAATTCCATGCAGTATTTAGGAGAGAATTCAAGGTCAACTACAAAAATTTAAACTAAAAGTTAAAAAAAAAAATAACCACCAACCTGCACAGAATAAAACTATGCCTCCTGCCCCATTTTCTTTATTCATGCAATGCACAAGGGCACCAATTCTCTGCTGGTCCCTGTACTTTTAATTGTTATTTGTTTGAGACCACAACTCAGTGTATCGATCTAATACACCCAAGCACAGTACAAGGCAGGGAAGGTGAAACCCAGGATGGCAGGAAATGGTCCTGGTGGGAGAGGTGTTGCCTGATCCTTAGCCCTGTGGCCACTGCCCCTCCTCAGGCAGAGCACTTTTATTTTGCCCACAGACACATCAACGGCTCAGCGTCAGGCAGGACTCACCTCACAGGGGCGGCAAACTCTCAGGTATGTTCATGTACTTAACCCACTGTCCCCTCTGGGGGACAGGCCACCTGCCACAGGAAAATAAGATGGCTGGATTGCAGGGAGGGGGCTGGAGAAGCAGTACCTGGCTGGCAAGTCAGAAGATCTCTTCTCATCCTCCCTCCTTTCATGCTTTTTTTTTTTTTTTTTTTTTTTTTTTTTTTTTGAGACGGAGTCTTGCTCTGTCGCCCAGGCTGGAGTGCAGTGGCCGGATCTCAGCTCACTGCAAGCTCCGCCTCCCGGGTTTACGCCATTCTCCTGCCTCAGCCTCCCGAGTAGCTGGGACTACAGGCGCCCGCCATCTCGCCCGGCTAGTTTTTTTTGTATTTTTTAGTAGAGACGGGGTTTCACCGTGTTAGCCAGGATGGTCTCGATCTCCTGACCTCGTGATCCGCCCGTCTCGGCCTCCCAAAGTGCTGGGATTACAGGCTTGAGCCACCGCGCCCGGCCCCTTTCATGCTTTTTAATGTAAAAAATAAGCCTTTAAAAAATAAAATTATGCTAATGTTTCAAATTAGGAAATGCACAAAAGTAGAGGGGAAATTAATTCTTCCTAATCTACCCTACCACCTTGAAATGGTCACTATTCATATCTTTTTATTTTTTAAGAGACTGGGTCACATTCTGTTGCCCAGGCTGGAGTGCAGTGGTACAATTACAGCTCACTGCAGCCTTGAACTCCTGGGCTCAGAACTCCTCCTGCCTCAGACCCTGGAGCAGCTAGGACTACAGGTATGCATCAACGCTTCTGCCTAATTTTCTTACTTTTTGTAAAGACCGGGTCTTGCTATGTTGCTTAGGCTGGTCTTGAACTCCTGGCCTCAAGCTATCCTCCCACCATGGCCTCCCAAAGTGCTGCTTTTACAGGTGTGAGCCACCATGCCCAGCCCACAATTCATATCTTGATGCATTCCTTTCAGCTTTTTAAAATATCATCTTTGTTTTATTTATAGAAATTTAAGATACATATAATTTTATCCTACTTTATCATATATTAACTTACAATTTTTTTAGTCACTAAAGATTTTTGAAAATATTTTTAACAGCTGTATAATATTCTAGTGAATTAATATACTATGCCTTATGTCCCTATTATTGGACATTTTTCTTTCAACTGTTTGCTATTATAAATAACTCTTGCATTCTTGAGTTCAATCTTTGTCTGATTTTGGTTACTTCCTTACGAAGAATTTCCAGCAGTAGAAGTGCCGGTTCAAAGGATATGCTATTTTTAAGTTTTTGATTCATATTACCAAATGGGTTTCCAGAAGGGTTGTACCAATTTACACCTCACCAGCCTTATATGGGAGGGCCTGCCTTGCCGTAGCCTTCAAATGAGCATACCTTCCCTGCTGGAGCTGTGGTGTGGCTGCTAGTAAATTGTACTTCCTCCCTGATGCAGTTCTGTCCCCAGCACGACGGCAGCAGGACCTCGTGGAGTGGGCACAGAAGTGAGAGAGCTTGGTGAGGAGGGCTGGGCTCCCCATCACTGTGGGCCTGGTCTCTCCCCTCTGAGCTCCAACTTTCCCATCTGTCAATGGGGAGAATAAATGTACGACCTGACTCATCAGATAGCGGTGAGGATAAAATGCCATAGCAGATGTTTGAGCAGATGCTTGAGCCTTTTTCTTCATTCCCATACTGACCTCATGACACTTCTTTCACATTTTAGGGGGACATCTTGGAGTTATATAAGACCCCATTTGTACCCACTGCCAGCAAGTGTAGGTCTGTGCATTGAAGGGGATGTGGAAGGGCATGCAGGAGGGAGGGGGACCCCACATTGTGCCACCCAGCTCTCCACTCTCCCCTTGCACCAGGGCCCTTGAGGAGTGATCTGCAGGCATGAGTCTTAATCCTGGTCTGAGAACGGTAACCTATGCCAGGAAGTCCATTCGGTAGCTCACACCCTAAGGCAGCCACTGGGAAAAGTTCAAGGTGGCAAAGGCTCAGTTCTCAATGGCTGCGGCGGCGTGCAGGGAGGAGCCTCTTTCAGACTGTTGTGGATGGTTCCAAAGCTGTTCCAGAAGGCTGAGTGCAGGATGAGGACTCAAGGATCCTATTCCGAGGCCTGAGTCCCAAACGAGGCAAAGAGCATCTATCACCATGAGCCAGGGGAGCCACTTTTCATATGGTCTCCCTTTTCCTACAGAATTTAGCAGGAAGGCCTGGTGGGAAGTACAGGGTCACACTGAAGAGAGGAGCAGGCAGGGCATGTCGGAATGAAAGTGGGATTCGCTGATTAAGAACCAAGAGAAAAATGATGGTATGCAAACTTTCTACAGCAGGGCCTGGCTCTGCTAAGGGCAGTTACAAAGCATGCAACTTTAAAAGTATATGAAATTGCATGCTAGGAGCCGAGCATACAGTCTATCCTAAGTAAGTGCTCAATTAATGCTTTTGAATCCGAGTCAGAAAAGAGGGCACAGGGTCGGGAATGGGGCAAACAACTGTGTGATATGATGAGGTTTCTTTTCAAATAATCTGATCAATCTTTTATTCTTTAATTCACAGTACCCCCTTCCCCCAGCTTTTTTTCTCCTTTTCTTCCTTCTTGCCTTTGTTAGATGCCCAGGCACACCACAGTACCAAGCGTTATCAGTACCAGCTCACATTCTTTTCCTTATTTGGAAAGAGGACGAACTTTCTGGTTCATTACAGACACCCCTTGCCCTTTCCATCCACTTTCTTTTACGTGCTCACCCTATCTTTAAAAATCAAGTGTTTAGGCCGGGCACGGTGGCTCAAGCCTGTAATCCCAGCACTTTGGGAGGCCAAGACGGGCGGATCACAAGGTCAGGAGATCTAGACCATCCTGGTTAACACGGTGAAACCCCATCTCTACTAAAAAAATACAAAAAACTAGCTGGGCGTGGTGGCGGGCGCCCATAGTCCCAGCTACTTGGGAGGCTGAGGCGGGAGAATGGCGTAAACCCGGGAGGCGGAGCGTGCAGTGAGCTGAGATCCGGCCACTGCACTCCAGCCTGGGCCACAGAGACTCCGTCTCAAAAAAAAAAAAAAAAAAAAATCAAATGTTAAAAAAAAAAAAAAAAAAAAAAAAATCAAATGTTTAGCCAACCAGGATTAGTTTAGATTGTACGACCTGACCCCGGCCAATGGGGAAAGGGTACAGGGCAGGACTTGCATCAGAAATAAACATGCATCTCATGCCCCTTCGTTCAGGTGTGCTCTCATGGCAACCGGCCAAGGAGGCACCCCTCTGCGCAGAAGTAAAATTGCTTTGCTAAGAATCCTTTGTTCGAGTGTTCAATTTCCTTAGGATTTTGAGTGTTATTCCAAACACAACGGAGGTTTAAGGAGAATTTATCCGGACCCCCGAGTCTCCCCGCATGACACTCAGCTAAGCCGGGGAAAGTGGCATTTGGAGGAGACAGATGTGGTGAATCATGGGACCTGCAGCATCTGACCTCCTGAGCTGCCTCTCCGGGCGCTTGGCCTCAAATGCAAGAGACGGATCATAGAAACGACGTCCGTGAACCAAAGTAGGATGAGCCCTTACCTTACACAGGGCTTCTTTTCCAACAGGCTGCCCTCGGGGGGATGTGGGGGTGAGTCTCAAGGGTGGGGCCTCCTGGATTTGTCCCTGTACCCCTTGGTCAGAGACCTCTTCCTCTTCTGGGCATTTGCTCAGGGGTTGCTCAAAGCCGCCATCCAGGAGCTGGGGCAGGGGGTCTTCTTCAATGGAGATGATTCTGCGGAGAGGCCGGGGGTATGGACCCCCAGGCCCTGGCTCCCCGGTTCCTGGCTCCTCTTCTGTTAGGGGATATCCACTCAGGCCCAGGGAGCTTCTCCTTGGGATGCCAAACACCTCCTCCTCCTCCTCTGACTGGCTATTGGGGCGGGGAAGAGAGAAGAGTTGGGAGGATTTCACAAAATATTTCAACATGGGCTGCATGACGGCTTTTGTGACAAACAGATAACCAGGGAGCATCACACCTTTGGAGAAGAGCACTCTGGGAAAGGGAAGAACAAACCAGCCAGCATTCTGCAGCTCATTCACTCAATACGCTTACACTAAGTGCCTGCTGCCCCTGCTGAGGCAGATGATGACACATATGATGATGATGATGACGACCAAGCATTAAGTACAGATGCCATTTACAGATGGACATAATTCCTGTCCTCATGGAATACTTGATTTAGTGGGGGACTGAAGCAATAATGACACAAATAAATACATCATTTACAAATTGTGAGACTGCTATGAAGGAGAAGGAAAGGTTGTAAAGAAAGAAGTCTCAGACTCAGATACAAAGCACCCTGATTAACATTAGCAGGTGGCCTTGGCTCTGCTCCCAGCGCCAGCCATTACTAACTGTGTGTCCTTGGGTAAGACACTTCAACTCTTCAGGCCTTGCTGTAAAATGTGGCCCATCTGCTCTGTCTATTCACAAATAAGACAATACATAAAAACAGACACGTTTGCAAAACATCCTCAGCAGTGTGAGGGGTGCTGTTGCTTTGGGAGGGCCCCCCACCTCCAGATAGAGCAGGTCTGCTGGTGCACAGGCAGCTGCCCCCTGGACAGGAGGCTTTGGGTCAGAAGAAAACCAGGCAGAGCATCTCCATCCACCTCTCCTTCCTCTCCCTTTCTCTTCCTCTTTCTGTATCCCTGGAAGTCAGAATCATGAGTAAATGGTCTCAGAGACCTAAGCACACACTTGCTTCTAGAAGCATTTGAGCACTAAGGGCAAGGAGAAGCTGTAGGCAGTGCAGGGAAGGAGGGAACTGGATGTGGGGGTCAATGCAGAGTCTGTACTTTCAGAAGGTTTTGAGAGCAAAGGCCTCACAGAAATTGTCTTAAGGGAAGTTTGACAGGGAGGACCTTAAGTTCAGAATTGAAACACACACAGACACACGCAAATACACACACACACATGCACACACACACACGCACACATGCACGCAGACTAGAAAAGAAAATGGAATGGGGATGAAGCAATGGGGCGATAGGACCAAAGGATAAAGGAACTAAATGAAGGACACAGAATATGCAGAACAGAGAAATACATTTTCTTTTGCTCCCTGATTTAAAATATATATTACTCTTAAAGATCAACAGTAGAAAGGAAAAAGAAAAAAAAAAAAAAAGCAAGTATCACCATCCTGAAATTAACTGCGATTCTGAAAGGCAAATTACAATATAGTGCTTGCTTGCAGAAAGGGTGAATTAGTTTGGATTCCCTGATATAAAAATAAAGGATCTGCGGCAATTAAAGCACCTTTCCCTTGACTTACAAAAACAGTTTTTAAAAAGCCAAATGTCTTCTTTCCAGCAAACTTCCTATATATTGTATCAAGCTTATAAAGTGCTTATTTGTTTTAGAACACAACTGGTATTCCCATCTACTTTTACTCTGCTTATACACACCAAAGTGAATATTTCTGTGTACACATGAGCAACTATGCACACACAGCATGTTTTTTCAAAGGCTTTGCAACCAGAAAAGAAATAGCCACTTAAATAGGCCTTAAAACAAAGCATTTATTGGAAAAAGCTTTTTATCTGGGAAATTCTCAACCACTACTGCCATTCTGTAATACCTGCATCATGGCATGACTGAGTTCATTTTTGGTTTTACCACCAAGTGCTCTCTGCCATTAGTAGGGACAGCAGCTATTTTTGGCAAAGTCTGCATTAGAATTCGGGGCTCACAATTTGTCACTTACTTGATTATTGTCTGCTTCTTCCACTCAACCAGAAATTCAATGACACAGAGGTAGGTCCATTTTGCTCACTACTGTATATCCAGCAAATAGCACAGCACCTCATACACAGTAGACACTCAATAAATATGTATTAAGTGAGCATTTCATAACGGAGATTAATGGTAGGACCCATGTCTAATTTATTTTTGGAGGCTTTACGGAACTCAAAAGAAATGTCTGGAACACAGTAGGTAATCAGTAAACGTCTGTTCAATCAATCAGTCAATCCATTCCATTCTGAGGAACCAACGGGCCAATCACTATTGCAGAAATTGGGCTCCCAAATTGTATCTCATTATTCAGCTATTTAGAACAAGAATTCATGATGATCAGGCCCAAAGGTTTGACTGATGAGCTGATTTACATCTCCAGAGTCACTTCCCCTTTGCATATCTTTTCATTTCATGCTTGCAGTCTTCAAGGTCTCTCTGGGTCTGATACTGAAGGGTCAGGTGTCTCTCTCTCTCTGTGGCCATCTATGTGGACACAGCACATGCCAAAACGAAGAGCGGGCAGGGGACTGGTTTGTCTCTGAATGAGCAACGAGCCAACCCTTGGGTACTCAAGCTCAATCATGTGCTGCCCAAGACCAACAAAATGCGTTACGTTTGAGTTAATTAAATATAAGTCATTGAAACGATCTGTCAAGCACAGGCCCCAGTCTTGTCTGTGAAAGGAGTTAACTATTGGAGATTCTATTTGACACTTTAATTAACCTTCATAGCCAATATAGTCATGTTCCTAAAAACCCAAGTGCATCGGCCGGACACGGTGGCTCACACCTGTAATCCTAGCACTTTGGGAGGCCGAGGCGGGCAGATAGCGAGATCAGGAGTTCAAGACCAGCCTGGCCAACATGGAGAAACCCCGTCTTTACTAAAAATACAAAAATTAGATGGGCGTGGTGGCGCACCTCTGTAATCCCAGCTCTTTGGGAGGCTGAGGCAGGAGGATCGCTTGAACCTGGGAGGCAGAGGTTGCAGCGAGCCAAGATCGTGCCACTGCACTCTGGCCTGGGTGACAAAGCAAGACTCTGTCTCAAACAACAACAACAACAACAACAACAACAACAACAACAAAAACCCAAAACCGAGTGCATCCATTCTGCTCAGCGACAATAGTGTTACCCAGCTACACACTCCATCTCTCTCTCCCTTGACCCCTCTCCTCTGCTGCTACACAGTCCCTCTCTGCAGACACACAATAGGGTGGGGCAGCCTCAGAAGACAATGGTCTGTCCTGGGGGGTTTGCTCTGCACATTACCCTCTGGCTTGGATGTTAGAACAGGGAGGGGAAGGTGTTCCAAGATTTGAGGGGAGTGAGTGCAGCTGACCTCAGTTTCCTCACCTTTCAAGGGGTCAGCAGGCACTGAGTGTGGGCCCAGAGCCAGCTCTCAATGAGCCCGACATTAAAGAAGGGATGAGCAAGTGGAGATGACTTACCTCCTAAGAATCCCTCTGCCGTCCACATATTTGCCTATCACAGAGCCAGATCTCTTTTTCCAGCTTGCCCTGGAAGCAGCTGTGTTTGCCTTGGCTGCCTTATTTTTCTGTAGAAACACAAAATGCCCTTAGATCCATGCCTATTTGCCCTGATGTTTCAACAGAAAAGGGCTCAAGGTTCCCACCTCATAGACTAGGCTCTACACAAAACTCTGAAGGAAGTAAGCAGTGTTCTGGTCACCCCGTTAGCATTTACCCACTCTTCCCTTTCGCCATCATCCCTTACCAGAATCTCTCCATCTCCTTTCCAGTTATCTCATCAAATGAACAAATACACAGTTTATAGCCTGGGGTCCATCCTGTTATTCACAGGAGCACTGATCATTTGTAAAAGGAAAAAGAAGAGATAAGTGTTTAATGCATATTTTCTATACATATTTCTAATGCGCATAGAAAATACGCATTAAACATTTATCTCTTCTGAAAAAAATATATCTATATTTTTGAAACAGGGCCTTGCTCTGTCTCCCAGGTCAGAGTGCAATGGCATGATCACAGCCCACTGCAGCCTCAAACTCCTGCACTCAAGCAATCCTCTAACCTCAGCCTCCTGGGTAGCTAGGACTATAGGCGCCCTACCACGCCTGGCTAATTTTCTCATTTTTTTGTGGAGATGGAACCTTGCCATGTTGCCCAGGTTGGTCTTGAATTCTTGGCCTTAAGTGATCCTCCCGTCTCACTCTCCCAAAGTACTGGGATTACAGGAGTGAGCCACCACGCCTGGTCAGACAGAAAAAAGAAAAAATATTTACAGGTATAAAAAACTCTGTGAATCTTTAATTCACACTCTACTGTATGGCTCCAATCGCTTTTTATTTCTAAAGTCTCAGATGTAATGAGAAAGTAACTAGCCAGGAGGATCAATTAACTCAGTGTTCTGTCCATGTAACTCCTGAGTAGCATAAGGCAGTTCAGCTTTTTGGTGGAAGTAGGCTGGGTGTAGATAAATTACTAACATCTGTAACGCAGAACCTGGGTGGAGCAGGGGTTTACAGCCCCCTTTGCCTATGCTCCCTGACAGATGTCTTCCAGGAGATGAGGCGGGGGAGTTAGACTGCAGGAAATATCTCTCGTTAATTAGCCATCCCATGATTCCCAGTGATCCTTAATGAGAGGAGGGGCTGCAATGCTCCCAGGGCCCCGGAAGGTATGGCTATGCTGATTCCAAATTCATCTTCAATTCTTATTCAGTTTGTCCCTCTTTGTTTGATTCCCCACAGGAGTTCTGTAATTCCATGCCCCTTTCAAAGCAGAATCAGTTTGGCAGGTAAAGGGGAGGGAGGTGAAGGGATTAGGGTGACATTTGGTTGGAAGTTTTAAAGTAAGTTCAGTGTTACTTCTAAAACAATGATAACCATTATCACCATCAAACAAACATGTGTAGGCTTAAGTCTTGCTCTAATAGTACACATAGGTGGGTGGCAGAGATGTTTGCTGCCAGTAAGTGATGGAAAAGAAACCGTGGCGTAATCCGGTCCCTCAGGGATGTGCGATTATAAAGCAGGTCAGATCTAATGTAGGGCAAATCAGCCACCTTCTGCTGACCATATCTAGGTCACTGTTCAGCTAAGGGTCCAATACATAACATCCCCTTTCCAAGAATCTTTCTCAAAGATTCCTATTGTATGGAGTGGGGATGGGAATTCACTTTCCTCATGTGACAGTGGGGGACATGGTCCAGGGTGGTAAATGACTTGCCCAGGGACACACATGAAATTCGTAGGATGGTCATCCTGATAATCAGGAAGTCACATCAATCAATTTGGCCTTCAGTTTTCTTCCCTTCAGAGCACCCAGTGGCTCCTGTCTAAAGGGGAAGATGAGTAACAGCATGGAATCCTAGGTTTTAGCCAATGTGGTCCACAGTGAAGGCCTTTAAATAAATATAGGATTTCACATCATTTAGGAAAGTATATACATATATATAAAAACATACATATATACACACACACGTACACATTATATACACACACTATATATATACTACATATATATATATAGAGAGAGAGAAAGAGAGAGACATGGTACTCAGGTATGGAAGAGTAGGGGTCCCTATAGGATAGAGAAAAATTGTTCATAAAATCAAGTATGAAAACAGTGAAATACACATTTCTAATGTGGTCTATGACAGTATAAAAAGGAAAATTTTCAGTGAGATAAAAATTTAAATGAAGAAGAAAGCTGTGAGCATTTTGGTTTAGAAGCGATAATGACATTTCAACTGCGCCATCTCATGGATAGAACTATCATTTCTGCATCCAAGAAATGTGCGACCCTCCCAAATATTTCAGTCTTGTTGTGCCAAGAGGAAACTGCGTTACTGTTAACGCACTGTTACCCAGCAGGCCACCCTGAATTTTTTCTAATTGCAAAACGTTTTTATGCTATCATCCTGCCAAATAGATCCCAAGTGTCAGGACATCGCTGGGCCAGTCTCGACATGGATCTGGCTGTCCAGTGGACCACAGCCCTTGGTCCCCCACAGGGAAGGGAGAACTGGCCAATTACCTGAAAAGATATGTCTCGTTCATCCCGAAGGTGCTTGTTCCTTTCCCTGTGGATGGTAAAGGGGAATCTATTCAAACACGGAGTTTGCAGTTGACAGATCCAACGGCAGCCAATTCGCTAGTCAGATGGGTGCAGGGGAAGGTGTGGTGTGGAAGACCAGGGAGTCTGTGGAATCTCCTTCCGCAGGGATGTGATTAATGGCAGAGGATAGTTTGTGTGTACAGATAGGTACACACCGACATGGGGGACAGACTGAATGCCCTTGAGACACCCATGGCCCATCAGGATGATGCATGGCCTCTCCCACTATTAGGGGCACCACCTCCAGAGGGGACCCCAGCATTCCAGCTCCACTTGGGAGCTTCCCATTGGGCTCCCTCTTTACTTTCTCTCTGTGCACCATTCATTCATCCATTCATGCATGCATGCACACATTCACTCAAATGCTTCTGAGCACCCACTGCATGTCAGGCACTCTTCTAGCCGTCAAGGTCACGCCAATGACCAAAACAAAACCTTCCTGCCTCACAGAACTTGTATTTTAGTGGAGGGATATCTGTTATTGAGAAACTAAAGCGGGAAAGTGGAGTAAAAGAAGCCAGAGGGTGGAGCAGTATTTCAACTATGGTGGTCAGTGACGCCCTCACTGACAAGACAGCATTTGTGCAGAACCTTGAAGGAGTGGGAGAAGCATTCCAGGCAGAGGAGAGGCTAGGGCAAAGTCTTGTGCTGGGATACACCTAGTGTGAGCAAGAAACAGAAAGGAGGAAGTAGAGAGCCCAAAGGGTAAGTAGTTAGGAGATGAAGCCAGAGAAAAAGTGGATGGTGGTCAGGACCTGTCTCTTCACAGCCCTGTGGGCCACTGTACGAACTTTGATTTTTACTCCAAATGAGATATGAAGCCAAGGGGCTGGGGGTGGTGAGGGTGAAGCAGCTGGCAAAGGAATGTCAAGATCTGGCTCCAGTTTTCAAAGGATCCCTCTGGATGTGGTGCTAAGAATAGACTGCCGGGGGCAAGCGTGGGGCCCTGACACTTGGGAATATTTTTAGTAACATGGAGGTCACTGGCCACTGGGGTAAGAACTGTTTTTGTGGAACAGCGGGGGGAAAAGGCCTGATTGGTGGGTTGAGAATGTGAAGAAAAGGAGTGGAGACAGTGAATGTGAACAACTCCTCTGAACATTTTGTTGTAAAGGGATTGAAGAAATGGCAAGTAGCTGGCTGGGGAAGTGAGGACAAGAGATGTTAGACAAGAAACAATAGAGTACCTTTGTAGGTATCTTCAAAAGAGATAAAACTGACAATGGAGGAGAGAAAGAACTAACGCTGGAATAGTCCTTGAGGAGCCAGGAAGGGACAGGCTCTAATTCTAGAGTGTGAGTTGGGCACAGGGGTTGGGGGTGGCCTCTGTGACGAGCATGGGGAGTACATCCACCGTCACAGAGAAGAAGGCAGAGACGTGGGCATGGGAAGAGGCTCTTAACGAATGGTTCCAGCTGTGAAACAGGAGCAAGCGTGAGGATGGAAAAGGAGGAGTCTTTTCTCCAGGACTTAAAGTAGGAGCCGTTGGGAAAGTGAGTTGACTGGGTCTGCTGTGCGACGGCGGAATGCACTTGGGGTTCACGACTGGGAATTTCATCCATTAACACAAGAGGTGGAGAGGGCAGGCCAGATGACCTCAAAGTGCTTAGCAGCTTTGTGATTCTATGACTCTTCTGGCCAGTGGCCTCTGAACAAACCTATACTTCTGAAGGGAAAGGGAGGGCACAGCCATGGTTAGGCCCTAATCATCACATCGCTGTCATTTATGGGGGCACTTACTGTGGGCCAGGCGCTCTGCTAAGTGTGTTGTACACCATAGAAAGAGATTTTAGGTGGGGCCTGAGGAGTCACCACCAGGGCAACGGACTTCCAATTCCGCCAGTCTTGCAGAAAACATTAGAATGTGCCAGGGTGGTTTTCAGTTACCTGCATGAGGTGAACAGGCAGGCACACAGCCAGGGCCTTCAGAACAAGTCAGAGGGACAGGGAGGTTATTTTACAAGTCCTGAGAATGGCAAAGTGAGCTGCTCATGCCAGAGGGACCCTCACTCGGCACGCAGCTGTGAGTTAGCACCCTTGCACCTGAGCGAGGACCTTGGGAGACCTGGAAAGTCCCACCATTTTTGGAAAGCATGCTGCGCTGTTTCTTCCTTTGTGGCTTCCTGCTTTATGTGGATGTGGCCATCCCCATACAGAAGCCTCAGTATTTAAAGAAACGTATCTGCTTTTGTTCACATCGCTGCTCTACTGTAATTCCTACTCACAAGTATCATCTTATTCTCAAAAGAACCCTGTAAGCTAGGCATGGGGAAAATTAAGACTCGGATTGGTTAAGTCAACTGTCCAAGGTCACACAAGCTAATGAGAGGAAGTGCTGGGTTTTGAATCAGATCCAGCTTCAAAGTGCTTGTTCCTAATCAAGTGCCCTGAAATTGCTCGTGTTTGCACCCACTGTCCTTCGGATGGCAGCCCTTCTCCCCCGTCATACCCCAGCTGTCGTCCTGATTCCACCACCATCCCACCCCTGCCCTCCCCCGATATTCCCGCTATCCCCCACGCCCACTGCAGCATTCTCTCTCCCTTGATTCCTGGTGGTTTCACTGTGAGGGAGAGATGTGCCATGAGGCCTTCCCTCCAGCTCTCAGCTTTCATTAGCCAGCGGGACTTAAGCTTGGTAACCCTGGATCGATGGCACAGAAAGGCCTCAGGCCCTTTGTGATTCTGCACAAATGCTAGCCTCCATTAAAAAGACCCGTAAGTATTTGTAGAGAGCTGCCTTGTCATTCTCCCCTGCGCATTCTCTTTGAATCTACCCTTTTTTTCCTAAATGCGATAGAAAAAGAAGACCCCAAACTTGTCCTTATACATTTTGTTCTCTTCCTTTTACTAAAGGCTTCCTAAGAATCAAGACCTTCTTGCAAATGGATGACAACTTGGTCACCTCAGAACCCCCTGCATGTTCCCTGGCTCTGGAGGCCTGACCGAATCATGTACTGAGCACAGTCAATCTGCAACGCATTCAGGTTGAAGCACTTTTCCATTTGGTAGCATCATAGATGCCAGACAGAGTGAGCATCCCTTGCTTTCACAAAAACAAAAACCTTCATAACATAACTGGGAAGTGATTCAAAACCACTTGCACTTCAAAAATCAGAACCCAAAGTCCTTCTGTTTCCTCACCATTCCCCCAGAGGTGCCCAGCGGCGACTTACAAACATCACGGGCAGCACCAAAACTGCCATCTTTCCCCGCACAGGTTTGTGTTTCTGAGGAGGGGAGGGTGGTGCACATTCCAGACCCGTCGACTTTGAATTTATTGCTGGGGGTCTCTGAAGGCTGAGGAAGCTTTTTCTTGGTGCTCTGTTTGCGATTCATTTACTCATTCAACAAACATGAACAGAACGCAGCCGAGTTACGGATTTCCATTCTGGCCCTATCAGTGAGGAGCTGCGTTGCCTGTGGTAAATTTACCTCGTTCCTCGAATATCAACTTCCCCGTCAGTTAATTCCTGTGAATTAACCGCCCTACTCACCTAACAGTTTTGCTGAAGATGAAAGAGATAATATTTCTGGCATAGATTAAATGCTCAATAAACCCAGCTCCGCTCCCATGTGATCCAGGACCAAGCATGGTCCTGTGAGGGACTCAGAAGAGTGGGGCGGAGCCTCCCCACCAGGAGGAATAAACTGGATATGGGCGCATGTGTAAATGGACCAAACATAACACAGTGGCTACTCAGTGGTCCAAACACTGCGTTGGGGACCAAGGGAATGAGGACGCTCTCCGCAGGCATATTTTTCCAGCACGTAGGCAAGGATGACCCTCAGACTGGTCCTTCCGACCCCAGGCTTCTGGGAGGTGCTCTCAGCACAGGCCAGTGCCCACCGACGCACCTTAGGAAATCCAGCTGCTTGAGGAGCCCGGCCTTCTCGCGCTGTAGACTCTCCGTCACACGGTACACTTCCCTGAGGAGGAGGCAAACACACTGCGGTGAGCTCCCAGGTAGAAGCCGGATGCCCAGACCCCTCATGCTGGAGACTGGCAGGCGATGCCGCGCTGGGGACGGAGGGCATTGGAGGAAGGTGGCCTTCTCTTGGAGAGCTCCTGTGGTATGCAAGTGCTTTGGGCATTGCATGTGTCCAATTTGGGAGGTGAACTTACCCTCAATTTATAGACTGTGACCATCAGAGAAGTCTGCTGTCTCTGCAGTTCACGCAGACAATCTGTGACTGAACCAGGGTCCCCTCCTACCCCCAGACCCAGCTCATTCCACAGCCACTTCACGTGCCACCTATGAATAGGCTGGATGGTCACTAAAGAGTCTGTCCAGGCTCCAAACTGCCCTATCCTATCCAGACTTCAGGGAATTAGAATCAATATTCTTCTCCAGCCAGATCTTGAAGGGTGAGAGCAGAATTTGTATTACCTTCCCTCCCATTCTCGCCCCACCCAGAGGCTGGTGCGGTATGCTTTTGGAGCTCTGGAAGAACCACCTTTTCTTTCCCACCTTCCTCCCAAAGTCCCCAGATATCTGGACTTTTCACTATTGGGCCTTCATTTCTCTGACTTATGATCCAGCTGTAATGCAGAGATTGAATGTATCTATTATAATCATTTATATCACTCTGCAAATGTGTTAATTGTAACAGGAGTTGTGAGGAAGGGGAGAGAGAAGCAGGGAGGCTGTGAATCAGGGCAACTAGAGGGCAACTCAGGTGGGGAGGTAAGGGTTGTGTCTGGTTTGTTTACATTGATATCCTCGACACAGCGCCTGGCTTGGAGGTGTAATCGGCAAATAGGTGGAGGAAGAAAGAAAAGAGAGACTAAAAGAGGTGAGGGGGATTAAAGAAGGAAGAAAGGGAGGGAAGGAGAAAGAGAGGAAGGAAAGAATGAAGGAAGGAGGAAAAGAAGGAAGAATAAAAGAGGAAGGAAGGATGTGGTAATTGGGGAGGTCTTCAGCATCACTCAGGGAAGAAAGGAAAGGAAAAAAATAAGAAATTGGGTGATATTGGGAAACTGGCTTAACTTCACAATTCTGTCTTCATTTTTCCTTCTCTGTTCTATACCATGCTTTAGACGATTTTTAACCGCTCTCCGATCTTACTACAAGGGTCTATAGTTCCACGTTTCCAAACTGCAGCACAGCTTTTCACGTAGGGAGCATCTCGCAAGTTGATACAGGCGTCACTTCCCATGGGCTGTCAGGGCTGCCAGGCTGTGCACACACTGGGCTGGGCAAGGACCCCTCTGCCACCCCATCCATCTCATTACTGAGCTGGCAGAAACAGCACCAACATGCTGGTCCACAGGACTCCCCTGCCAAGCTCCTAATAACCTGATTCCTTTAGCCTGATGTGTCTCTTTTCCCCCTTTTATAGAATAATTGTAAAGTCAATTTACAGCAATAAGAGGCTGAATGAAATTCTAAGTTCAACTCAGACAATTCCAATTAAGCAACAATCCTTCTCTGGCTCCTGCAGAGATGCAAATTCTTGGCATTTTATTACCGATTATATTTAATTTCAACTTGAAGAAAAACAATGTATTTCCCATCATCCAAACTGGGTCTCTAAACCCCTGTCCGGGACTCGGCTCTGATGAGCGCTCTGTGAGCAGAGCTGCCCGCTCCCGACTCTGGGCCCTGGGAGCTGAAGATCCTGGTGCTGTACTTTAGGGTCCCTCCACCCCACCCTGTGTCCTGCCTCTCTCCAGGGGTGGCCAGGAGCTCACAGCTTTTCCTCTGCTCAGGAAAATCATTCACCAGGGACTTAAGGTCTGGGTTCTCACAGAGTATTTTACCAAATAGCCAGTTCCCAAATTCTAAGTCTTCTCTGGCTCTGCATACACAGCACCAGTGACCATCAGAGCTATATATACACACATTTGTATTAGCAATACATGTGAATACATGTACTGTTCTGTTTGTCTAGTAAACATATATCTGCTTGGATATTTGTACATCCATATATACACACATATATTCAGAAATATATTGTTGTGTCAACAAAGGAAAGTCACTTCTGAAAAAAAAGACACTCAGGTATTTGACTGAATGACCTCTAAACTCCTTCTAACCTAGAGGTTCTAAAAGTGTATACGTGGGTAATATGTAAACGGAAAGGGAAAGAACCTGCAGTTGTTTGGAGTGGTAATTGGTGAGGCGTTTATGGTTACCCTTAGGGGAAATGCTGTTGGCTTTGTTTTCGGGGAGGGATGAGCTATGGAGCACTTCACAAGACATATTGTCAAGTGAAAAATGTAAATGCAGAACAGTATGCTTAATATGCTACTGTTTTATAAAGGAAAAGTGTGTGTGTGTGCATGCATGTGCACGTGTGTGCACGCACATATAGGTATCTTTGCCTGCATATACATACAGCATACTCTGAAAGGATCCACAGGAAACCATGACCAGTGGCTCTGATGACTGCAGATCGGGGCTGTGTCGGGGACACAGACTTCTTTTTGAGCATATAACCTTTTGTGCCTTTTGAATTGCGTGCCTTGTCATAACTACTTACTCAAAATAAAAGTTAATTAAAAAATAAACAGAGAGTTGCTGCTTCTCAGCTGACCTTCATCTTTACATGACCTCTCTGCTTGATAGTTCTTTCTTTATCTCATTTTAAAATCTACTTCCGCCAACTTGAGCATCCTCAGAGATCAGAAAATTAATTTTGCCTGTTCGGAATTCTTGCTGATCAGTGACTAAGCCTGTTTACCTCCCAGCTCCACCTTTTCCTCTCCCAGCTGCTCTGCAGCAGCATGAGGCAGCAAGACCCTGTGGGAGAGCCCGGGACTATCAGGAGAACCAGGCTCTGTCCCTGTCATCCAGCCCGAACTAGCTGCGTGGCTTTGGGCCCATCACTACACCTCTCTGAGCCTCGGTCTCTTCATGTATAAAATGAGTGTGAGTCACTGCGCCCGGCCCAGGATGATTTAAAGATCAAATGAGAGGATGTCAAATGATCGACATAAGTGAGATATATTGAATGCCCAGCACGGTACCTAGCACAGAATAAATGTCTGCCAAATGAAGAAGTCATTGACTCTATGGATAAATGAATATACAAATAAACAAAGGAGAGTCCTCTGCCCTGAGCCTCAGAGTACATTTGTTCTAAAACCTAAGACTACCAAGACAAGATAAATGACTGATTCTTCAGGGACTCCTCCAGGTGAACCAGAGCATCAAAGTCCTCTCCATCTGCTGGTCTGCAACCCTGCTCTATGGAGAACAAGCCACGCCTCTCGCTGCACTGCTCTCCCGGCCTCCCTGGACGGGACACGCTCTCCAGGCCCCAGCATGCTCCCCGGCTACACAAGAAACTTCAAGCTTCTTGAATACAAGTTGTGAAGGTTCTGGAGTCATATTTCTCTCTTCCTCCCAATCCTCCCTCCCTCCCTCTTTTTCAATTCCCAGCCTCCAGAGATTGTGTCTCTGGCTTGGTTAATTAAGATAAGACTTCAGAAAGCTTTGAATCCTCATGCTGTGATATGATGCTCCAGCACTGGGTGTTTATTTCCATTTGCTGTTCTAATGCTTGTGCCTTCAGATGTTTGTTGCTTTTAGAGCTTGATTGAATTTTAAGAGCCTGCATCCTTAATTCTGTTTGTAAAGCTAAACGCCTGTACCTTGTTGACCTGTTCTCAGTGAGGAGGAACTGATTTTGCTTGTTCACAGTGAAATATGTTGTCCTTCCACAACTGGTCATCCAAGAATTGGGATGGAGGGGCTTAATTTAAGTCAGCTACTTGGGGGCTTTTTGTTTTTGTTTTTGTTTTTGTTTTTGTTTTAACTGGAGACATCTTACTAGGGTGAAATTTCCAGCCCAAACACATCTCCTTCCTTTTACCCTAGGCAATTAGCGCCAAACGGTACAGGATTCCACACAGAGGTCAAACCAGCACAGCAGTTTTATGTAGGCCTGTGGACCAAAATCCTGCCAGCAGCCACCCAGAGTGAGCACCTTCACTTCTGAACAAGGGGAGTTAACATCTATAAAACAAGTTCTGGTACGTAGCACTGCCCTTTTCCCTAAAATCACACTTTCAGTACTACCTGGTACCTTTCAGGATCAGGCAGACAATTACTTTTTTCAGAATAAATGAATGAATGAAGAGTGCATGAACGAATGTGTGAGTAAATGATAGCCAGTCCAACTCTTGTAAGGATATTTTCTGCAGGCTTGTTATTCTCTAGGGAAAATCGGCAAGATGTGTCTAACTCTTGGCATCTTGGGATAGTTACTTAAACCTCTGAACCTTAGTTTCCTCCTCGATCATAGCAGAACCTGCCACACCAGGATTTTTTTTTTTTTTTTTTTTTTTTTTTTTTTTTTTTTTTTTTTTTTTGAGACAGAGTCTTGCTCTGTCACCCAGGCTGGAGTGCAGTGGCACGATCTCAGCTCACTGTAACCTCTGCCTCCCAGGTTCAAGCTGTTCTCCTGCCTCAGCCTCCCGAGTAGCTGAGACTACAGGCATGTACCACCATGCCTGGCTAATTTTTGTATTTTTAGTAGAGATAGGGTTTCATCATGTTGGTTAGGCTGGTCTCGAACTCCTGACCTCGTGATCTGCCCATCTCGGCCTCCCAAAGTGCTGGGATTACAGGTGTGAGCCACCACGCCTGGCCCAGGATGATTTAAAGATCAAATAGAGGATGTCAAATGATCGACATAAGTGAGATATATTGAATGCCCAGCATGGTACCTAGCACAGAATAAATGTTTGCCAAATGAAGAAGTCATTGACTCTATGGATAAATGAATATACAAATAAACAAAGGAGAGTCCTCTGCCCTGAGCCTCAGAGTACATTTGTTCTAAAACCTAAGACTACCAAGACAAGATAAATGGCTGATTCTTCAGGGACTCCTCCAGCTTAAGGTGCAGACCCAGGCTTGATTCTGCCTCAGGTGTGCCTCTGCCTAGTAAACTAACCCCCATGGCTGGACACCATTGGCAGGTCGGGCCCTGAGAGATGTGGGTTTCCCCCTACTGGGACCACACAGTTGAATCTGAGGAATATGGTAAAAAAAATGGGCAGAGATGGACAGGCGAGTCCAGGACAGTGACACATGCCCCGTCAGATCATATGCTGATCCTGGAAGTCTTCCTCCTTCCCTCTGGTCCCCCTTGGCCTCCCAGGTCTCTACACGACGACAGTTACCTAGGGTCTGTCTGCTCACTCAGCATTTGCCCACAGACTCCCTCCTATTTGTTTGTGGAATAACATGTCTTTCTAATCACAGAATGCATTTTCTGAGAACAGGGCTGTACATTTCTTGTCAATCCCAGGCAATGCTGGACACAGAACTGGTCTGCTTCACAGGGTCAGAATCCTAGAAGAGTGTTAGAAGAGTCTCAGGGAGCAACAAGCCCAAATCCACACTTCACAGGCCAGGAGACAGGGTCTCTGAGTGGCGAGGGGACACGCCCATAGTGGGGGGTGGTGCTGGAGGACAGCAGAGGAGCGGACAAAGGCTGGACTCACATCTCCTTCTCCTGGTGGAGTTTGCAGGCCTCTTGCTGAAGGCTTTCCAGCTGCTGCTGAGCATCCTGGAGCTCCCAGGAGGTCCGCTCCAGCTCCCGGGCCAGCTCCTGGTTGGTGAGTCTCAGCTTGGTATTCTCAGCCTTGGTCTCACGCTTGTCATGATGCAGGGCTGTGCACTGACCTTCCAGCTGCAACGGAATGGGGAGCAGAGGGGAATGAGGAGTGACCACCATCTTCAGGAGGACCTGCCCTGGCCTCACCTTGCTTTCCCCGCTTGGCAGGCAGGAACCGTCACTGCCGCCCCTCATCGGCCTCAAGCCTAAATCGGCATTGTCCTCGCCTCAGTTCACACATACACACTCCTCTAGGCAGGAAGGAGCTTTCAGAGCACATCTTGTCTCTCCCCTGTCTCCACACAGGATCACTAAATAGTCCAGGAGGAACTGCTCCTCTCAGAAAGACCACTAACAAAGGAACTTCCACAGTCTGTCCGTGTGAATGGCCTTGAGATCTAACCTAAATCCGTCTTGTTGTCCTTTAAGCCAATTTCTTTTCCTTGGTCCTTGATGGAGAAGGGGAACAGCTAAATGGCCCGCTTCATAAAACCATCCTTCCCAGTTTCGCACGCTGATAGTAAATCTATATATTCCCTTTTCTCCTCTCAACTCCAATTCCATGAATCGAGAGAAGCTTTTAAGGGTAGCCAGCAGCCCTGAAAATTCTTAGGAAATAACTAAAACAGTTCAAACAGAACACAGACCTTTTCTATGTCTCTAAAGTAACTCAAAACCTTGCATTTTTATAGCTTCAGCTTTTCTTGGCTGTTGATTATGCTGTGCAGAGCTTCCAATCCTCTCACCAGAGGAAGAATCAAACCAAGGTACATATATCATAATAAATTTAGTTTAATGAATGTGGCCAGTAAGGGGAGGAAGAAGTAACAACAAGGAATTTGGTGTGATTCTCAAGAGGCTCCTGTGTAATCAGGCAAGCATGCAGTAATTACATCGAGTGGCAATCATTCATTTGAGGGATAAATCTAATTGCTAGGAACTTAATGCATAATAGAGAGGAAGAGAAGGAGTAGGAGAAGCAAGGTACAACTGTGGATGGAGAAACGGGGAGGCAGCTGGCAGTTCCCGGAGTAGAAATCGTCTTGCTGCAGAAGGAAAGAGACCTAAATTCATAGCTTGGGTAGCAGCAGCAGTGGAACAGTCTCTTGTCTTAGCAGGGCTGTCTTCAAGTAGATTTTAATGTGCTGCTAAAAATAACCCTCTCTATTGAAATGGAAGCAACATGTCCTGGTCTGTCCAGAGCTGGATTCCTTCCAGCACCGGGCACAACAAAACAGGAGGCCAGCGGCACGCCAGCCCGTCTCCCTCAGGAGCCCTTGCTAAGGAGTGGAGGCTGCTAAGTAGGAGGCTTGCCTAGGCAGTCAGTCTTTCTGGGGTCATTAGCCAGGCACTCCCAGCCATAGAGACACTGCCCTGCAGAGCGCACCACCCAGCCTGCCTCCTGGAGGCTCAGGTACATCAGAGAGGAGTGCCTGGTGTCTGCACTCTTCCTGCAGGTATGGGAGTAGTCACAAAGGACGCCAATGACCCCGTCCAGGCATGACCACATGACCAGGGAAGACACAGGCTGACTTCGGAAGCGCCTGTTCCAGCAGAGGCATCCATGACCATTCTGGAGGGAAGAAACTTATCTGTAGCCTCCCCCCAAATATCGTGGTAGACAATGTCTCTTGTACCTCGGCATTCCCCTCTTTTCTTATACAGGAGGCAGGAAACAAATTCCAGTTTTGGCATTCTTGTGGCTCCTGGGTATAATTATAGGAACATGTCTGCAGATATCTCATGGGGGAATGCTTGGCAACTTTTCCAAGTTAAACACCTGGTATTGGAGAAGTAAAGGTTTTATCTTGGGATCACCTGTGATTTTAAATGCTATCTTTTGTACAACTAAATCGTTCTTCTCAGGTTAAAAAAATCACAAGTCCTTAAGTGAATGGCAGGGAAGGTGGGCAAGAGGCAGAGGAAAGGATGGAGTGAAGAGCCAGGTACTCTGAGGCCATGACAGCAACATACCCTTTTCTGCTTCTGGGTGAGCTGCTCCAGCTCCTGCTCCTTACATAACAGTTTCTGTTCCAGCTCTTGACTGCGGGCTTGAAACCTCTCTGTGTCCTGCCAAGCCAGAAAGAGGGATACACAGGACCCAAATGTAGCACCCCTGGGTTATAGATTTCTTTTCCCACCTTGAACCTACTCAACATCAAAACCCATCCTATTAGACCATGGGGCTTTTCCCATAGCACTGCAGGGCTCTGGTAACCTGCCTGCCCCATCAGGGAGGACCAAATGAGACAGAGATAGTGCAAGCACTTAGTGAGGCAGGATGCAAACTCCCAGCAAGCATGGCCATGTCCAGTGACTGTGCACCGCCACCCTCCTCTCCACCAAAAAAAAAGGAGCAGTGTCAGCCAGCAGTGGAATACTGAACGGGAGAGTTGGGGCCCAAGTTCAAACATCAGGCCTTGGTCTCCTCATGTGCAAATCGGGGGAGGCAGAGGACCCCTCGGATGCCTTCCGACCTGGATACTCTGTTCGAGGTTGGGCACTGGCATCGGATCCCTTAAACTGGCCTCACTCTGGAAACACATGGCCATGACCTCTTCCTCTTGAGGGTCTAAGTGTTCATATTTTCCCACTGTGAGTGAAGTCTCCTGGGCCCTGCTCCTCAGGATGTTCTAATATCTGCTCCTTCCCTAGGCTGGGCTTTCCCCACAGAGAGGTGCTGAAGCAGGTGAGAAGGGGCCTGGCTGTGGGCTGAGGAGGAAAGTGTGTGGGCCGTCGGGTGCCTGATGCTCTCAGCAGAGCCAGATCTGTGGCGTAAGGGCCCTGAGCCGAGCGGGACACAACTTGGGTTCTGGCCCCGGCTTCACCCAACTAACTTGCTTCATTCTTCTGGATCAGTGTTTGTTCACAGAATAGAAACAAAAATACCCATGCCATCTGCAGCACTCCACTTGCCTGAAGGCGGAATGGAGGTACAAAATGTGCAGGAAGAGAAGAAACCATTGTAACTGCCACATAACTCACTACCGGAGCCCCCCGGGGTTCCTGAGATACGGAAGAACTCTCTCCCAAGGAGGACAGCGTGGGATGCTGCACTAGACGGGTGTCCTGGCATGACAGCGGCCACAGCACGGTGGTGGAACACGGCCCCCTCGGGCCAGAGGCCTTTGGACACCTCCACTCAAAGGCTCAGGATGCTTCCTTGTGCATCCTCTGTTGATGTGACCAGGTTCTTCTGCCCATTTTTAGGCAGGTAAATGGGCAGAAGAACCACAGGGACAGCCTGTGATTATCCTCATGTTAACCACATGAATGGCAGAGGTACGATCTGACCAGACAGCACCTGCTCCCAACATTTGCTTCCAGAGAATCAGCCCCAGAGAATCTGCCTCCTTCAGCTTGGCTGCTGCTCCCCCTGAAAAATGCTGGGAGCGGCGAGAGGCTCCAGGATCCCCGTGATGATGTGGCTGCACCCACAATGGGCCTACAGAGCGTCCTCACAATGCACCGGGACAGGGCGTTGAGGTGGTCTGGCATCACATCCTGGGGTTGGAAGGTGCAAGTGATTAGGTACTTCCTTCACGGTCGGACAAACTGATACGTGTCAAGCCAGGACCCAAATTCTGGTCCGAGGGTTCAGCCTTTTCCGTGATGTCAGAAACTGTAGCACCGCTATCCTTGATCTATCGCCAGGCAAAAGCCTTTGTATCTAATGGCTTAATAGTGCTGCAAAAACATCTGAGCAGTTTCCATGTTCATGCAAAAGGCATAAATCTAAGCACTGCGCTTTAAAGGCATTTGGTGTCAAGAGGGGAGAAGGAGGGCGCAGAAGGGGACAGGGAGGCTGGATCACCTGCAGTGACGCAAACTTGTCCTTGAATTTTTTTCCTGTGACCTCTGCCCTTGCCCATCCCCCATGCCCTAGCCCAGCACTTGCTTCTGAAGTCATGTCTTTTCCTTTAGCTAGGACCTCTGACCCATAGTCATGGCCCGGGCAGAGGGGACAAGATGCCCCATGGAGCTCAGCCTCTCTGTGCATGGTGTCATTTGGGATAAGCGGGGGGACTGTCCTATGGCAGGGAGGTGGGGTGGGGAGCTGCTGTTCTCAGAAACGATTTTGGGGTCTGCTGGTGAGAAGTGTGTGAGTTCTGTCTGCCATCAACCAGGTTGAGGGGCAGGAGCAGCCGGAATGCTTTCAGGCTCTACAAGAGGGAGGAGGCCTGGAAATGCTGACAAGCCTCCAGAGGGCGCTAATTGGAGGACATGACCAGATTTTCTTGAAAAGCATTCCAATTCCCTCTCAGTTTGAATGACATCTGTGATAATAAACGGAGCAGTGGTGTTGATAATCTGAGGCAGCCTAAAACTTAAAATTGGTTCAAGAGAAGGGGTTGTGATAACAGTCAGGCTTAGTGCTGAGCGGCAAGGGAAGCTGCCATCTAAGATCAAGGTCTTTTCTGCCGAGAACCCACCAAGTAGATAGCCCCAAAATGGGTACTAGAGAGTTCTCTGAAGCTTTTTTTTTTTTTTTTTGGCGGGGGTTCCCTCTCTCCCCCCAGGCTGGAGTGCAGTGGCCTTTTTTTTTTTTTTAATTTAGTTTTATGAACATGTTTCCAGAAGGATCCTGCTTACCTTGGCAAAGAAGAGGATTTTGCCAATCCTGACTTCTTGAGACAAATGGCAGGGCTTGGGAAGGGGGTGATAAGGGTCAGACCAGGAAGAGGGAAGGGAGTTATCCATTTCCTCAACGGTATCTGTGGAAGGTGGGATTGATTTGTTTTTTCTTGGGTATGAAATTTTCCATGTGCCTAAAGGTAAAGGATGGGTAGCACAGGCTCTAACGCTTGTCCACTTAGGAGAGCTGCTGGGCACAGGGTGAACTGGGCTGGTGCATTTGGGTGGGCCTGCCATATAATTCTAGGAACAGTCAATGTCAGATCAAATTTAACAGGGAAAGCATGAACCGCCATCCTTTTGTTCATTCACTTATTCATTCATTCATTCATTTAACAAATATTTGTTGAGTACCTGGTATGTTCCAGGCATTGTCTATGTGCTGAGGATACCTTAGTTAATAAAAGATAAAAATCTCTGCTCTTTTGCAATTTATATGTTAGCAGGAGAAGACAGACACTCAATGAAAATAAACAAGGATATTACATGTCCTGTGTGAAGGTGATAAATGCCTTGAAAAAAAAATACAGCAGAGAAAGAGGGAATCAACAGTGCGTGGATGGAGGCACCACAATCTTAAACTTGGGGGAGACAGAGCAGATATGTCAAGCTGGCCTCAGAACCAAGCCTGGGGAGTGCACACTTACCTTCAGGAGAAACTGCTCCTTCTCACTTTTGATTTGCTGTTCCATCTCCTCATAGAGATGCTGGATTTCTTCATCATAAGCAGCAATTTTCCTACAGAGGTGGCAAAAGGAGAGTCTGCATTGAGGTTCCCCTATCCCACAGCGATAGCTCCTGGAGCTCAGACACCAGTCCCCCACTCTGGAGCTGTGGGTGTGGGGGTGACAGCATCGGTCAGGTCGGTCAAGGCTACAAGATCAGTCCCTCAGGATCAGCTAACCCGACAAGGGATGCAGACCACAGAGGCCTTGTGGCACCTGCCCCTACAACTGGTAGGTTTCACGTGGCCTCTCCTCCTCCCATCCCCCAGCCATCACTCCTAGATGATCCCTGTGCTCCTCGGTGGAGTTTCCCTGGACCATCTCCCTTTATTGTACTTTATTTCAACACAAGCCCACAGGCCTCTGCCAGACATATCATCCCTGTTCCCGCTGATCCCCACGCTCATAGATTATATGAAGTTGCATTGTGTGGGTTTCTTTCCTGTTGTTTCCTGGTTTATCTTGTCCCTGTTTGCATGCTTTCTCTCTGCCTGTCCACATCAGGACCCTCTATCACTGCACTCTCAGAGGACTCTCCCTGTATGCTTGAGTTTGTGTGATCCATGTTTCTCATGAGATTCTCAAGAGATTCCATGATGATGACAACAAGAGCTACCACACCCCCCACCACAAAGCAAAAGGCACGATGTCTAGTGCCCGCGCCATCTCAGGCTCCAGGGTACAAGCAGACAGTGCGAGACAGGCGAGGCTGGTTGGAGGATGGCGATGACAATGAGATGTCCTCATCCTCACTCTTCTTCTCAGCATCCTCTCCCCACTCTTTCCTTTCCCCACCCAGAAAGTGAGTACCTAGGCACTCTGCTCCTATAGGGAGATGAAGACAAACGCAGCTATGGGGACAAGGTTTGTAGGTCATCCCCAGGGACGACCCTTTTCTGTTTCTCCCTCTCCCCATGATACATCCAACTTCTAATGCCCCTCCAAATTCAAACAGGAAAGATCTGGTATTAGCATTGGAACTGAAACTGGGAGTTATCACACTGAATTACTGACATTCCCAGGTAGTTGCATTTTCATGCCTTTTTTGCTGACCATGCAGTGAAAGACCTTCTCTGTGGCCGCTACTCCCGATCCTCTCCCTATTCTGTTCAGGAAACTCCAGGCACCGTGAACAGGCTCATGTGGCTCTCAAGACCTGTTCTGAACATGCAACAGACACACACACACACACACACACACACACACACACTTGGCCCCTGCCATTCTAAACTTAAATGATGGCAAGCCCACTGTGCCCTTTATTTAAGAGACTTCAACAATTGAAGTTCTCAATTTTAAGAAGTACTAGGAAGATTTCTGAACTGAACATAAAGGATGGGAATATATTTATTCCCCTGAGCCCTCCATCATTTTAACCCCTACCTCCCATGTCTACTTGGGCCTCCGATCCACGACCAGACCTTCTCTGCTGTCCAAGGCTTTGCCACAGCCCAATTTCTGCCCCTTTCTCACCCGCCACCTGTTGGGAGAGCATTTTCACCACGTGCACAGGTGAACAATGAACAGGAGTCATTTTGATTGGCATCCTTCCAGCTTTACAGAAACCACAGATCTGACCCAGACAAAGGAACAGTGTGTGAGACTCCATGGTCAGGGACATTCATCACAGAGCACAGCCTTGGAGTTGCCTTGCTTGGCTGCACCCCCAAAACCAGAAACTTGATTTTGAGCGACTGTACAATAACGGCCCAGGGTGGGCTCAGTGAGAGATGACAGTCCTCCCAGACCTTCGCAAGCCAGGACCCTGTCTTTATGGATACATCCTGCATCCCTTACTCTTTTTGGCTAAGAGTAAGAAATCTCTTCTTGTTAAATGACCGATGTTTGGGATGGTTACTTTTGCTCTGAGTTAACTCATAAGAATTAAAACAAAATCTTGGAGGAAAAGTAAGGAAAAAGGCTCATGCTGTTGACCCTGATACTTCAGTGACAGAAGCAGATACAGTTTGAAGGAACTTTCAGAAAGCAAGATGATTTCTCTTGGTCCCTGGAATTATCTTCCTGTGTTTGAAGAAACTCAGATGCTAGATGGTAAATGATATCAAGGAAAACTCTAGACAGAGATTCCAGCTATATAAATACTGTAAAACTAATAAAGTAAGATGAGTGAAACTTAAACATTGATTTGGCTCTGCTAAAGCAATTCATATGAAGTTATTTATATAAATGGCTTACCATTTATTTCTAATAACCATGTGGGGCATTAATTCTATAATATAATTAAGTGTGCTATATTAACTTTGATCTATGTCTTATTTGATTAAATTAACACACTCTAAGTTTTTCATGCTTGCATACCAGCTTGCTGGTATGTGAATTAAGTTATTTTACAAGCCACTAAAAAATAACTGGCAGGAAGATAGATACGGTGTTTGAAGAGTGCCTCCTCCTAGCCCTCACTCACAAAGGCTAGGCCTACTGCAAAGAAGCCCTGGGATTCCAGGTAGGCATCCGAGATCCTGGGCCCAACCAGACTCATACATGCAACCAAGCTTTTGGAAAGCTGGCCTGCTGTGAGACTCTCCAGGCTTGAACGACTATGGCAAGACTGGGTTAGAACACACTAATCCCAGGAATGGGGAAGATTAAGGTGCTGTGCGTACCAGTCACGTCACTAAACCAGTGCAGGGATGAGATGACTTGCATTCGGATCTCCCAGAACCAGCTCCTTTCCTCAGTGTGACCTTGGGTAAGTGCTCTGACCTCCTCACATCCTGGGATGGTACCTGCCCTGTGTTCCTCCCTACATTGTCATAAAGAACACACGAGAGTGGATGTGGAAAGTGTCAGAACCACAGAGCCCTCAGTCAATGTAAGGGATGATTTACTGTTGTCATTACAATCACGGGCTGTGGAGGGCAAAGGGCAGTGCTCCCCAAGGGGAAGAGCCTTGGTTTCAAGGATAAAAGACCTGCTGGGTTTGGAAAGGCTGATGCAATTGGGAAGATGAAGAAGAAATAGCTCAGTCAATAAAAGTGCCTGTCAAACCAATCCATTAGAGACCCAGACTGTGTGTGAGCAGGAGCCAGGAGCCAGGAGCCTGTGTCTGCAGAAGCCCTGCAGTGGCTGTGCGGGTAGTGGCAGCAAGAGACACTAAAAAGATGTGCACATATGGTGAGTCACATTCAGCAAGGCTCGCCACATTCCGCCATCAGGGGAAAGAGACAACTCATCATGTTTGCTCATCATACACATCCTTGTTGCCACAATTTCTAAAACCACTTATATTGCCTAATGCATACAAACAGACTTTGAAGGCTTCTCTGTGAAGATTTTGCCATCTATTCCAACCTTCATGACCCCTTCTCTGAACTCTGATGACAGCAGATGTCTTCATTTGATCATTTAACAATTAATCTTAAATAGTCCTGAACAACTGTTTCATTTGGGTTCGTGTTGTCTCAATTAGATTATAAACACGCAGGCATTTATGTCACCCGCAGGGCCTGAACTCAAAATGTTAATGCCAAAAACCTGTAAAAACTCAATTTACAATTTTGGGTACCAAACTCAGAAGCTCATGGACCATTTTGAGGGAACACTAGATACCATGTGAGTTAAAGAACTTCAGAGTTGGAAGGTTTGTCTGATCTAACTACCTGTTTCTCCGGTGTTAAAATTCTTGTGACAATACCATGTCAAGTACTTACCCAGACTAGGTTAGAATACCCCCAGTGACAGGGAACTTGCTGTTTCTCTAAGTAGTTATTTCATTTTTGGGATATTCTGGCTCACAGAAATCTGTCTTTCCATGACCTTACTCTTCTGCATAAAAGTCTTTCATGTATTTCAGAACAGCATCAAGACTTCAATGGTTCAGGTCAAGCCTCTCCACTTCCTGCAACTGTGTCTCACGTGGATTTTTTACAAATCCCTTTACAATTCCCTTCATGCTTCTTCAAATGGGCTGCAATGATCTTTCTCAAGCTATGGGAGTGCCAAACTGAATGTCCAGTGTACGAGTCTCATGTGTGCAGATTAGAGCTATTTCCTCTCTTGTTCTAGATGCTGCATAACTATTCATACAGCCTAAAACCCCATTAACTTTTCTTGGCAGCCACATTACAGTGGATGTGTGCTGAACCCATTTGCCAACTACAATCTCTAAATCTTAGGTCTGTGTGATCATTGTTGTTTTAAAGATGGTACTACTGAATCGTATCTCCCCTACTTTGTGCTTCTGCCATTGGCGTTTTGAACACAGAGCAACATCTCAAATGTAATTCTGTTAGATTTTGTGTTTGCTAGTTCTAGTCCATCTTTCCAGCCCGTCACTATGCTAACAGGTCTCAGTTGGTCATGTGGTGTATTCAGTGACCTTCCAAGTTTTGTTGACATTTTAAATCTTCAATCAGGATGTAGGCTAAATAATCTATAATGTTGGTTTTTGTCATTTAATGTATGTGAGAGTTATTTAAAAGGCAGTTTATTTAAAAAGGTACAAGCTATTGGTTTCTAGTTTTATTATATTATAGAAAGAAATGGTTTTGGATTCTATTGGTTATCTTTCCTCTGTAGCCACAGACATGACCAATTTTTGCACAACTTCTATGAGAGGGATATATATTCTATTTGTAAGGCACACAATTCTATATCCATCTCTAAAGTGTGTTCATTGATGGTTTCACATACTTTAATCTTCCACGTACTTTTGCCTGACTAATGTGTCAAATCTGAAGCAAATTTGTTAAAGTCTAAAGTCTGGTTTTTATTAAGTTTTCTTTATTTTTTTCTAAAAGCTTCTGCTGTATCTTGCTGTTGTGTTGTTTGGCGCATAAAGCTTAATATATGTTGTATCTTCTTTATGGATGGAACTTTTTTCATTACCTCAAAATATTCCCTTTTTATCTTCCTTTACTCATGCCATTGGAGAAATGTTAGACAAAATGAGGACAACAATCTGTAGCAGAGACCTCTGAGATGTTAATTAGTGACATGTAGGCATAGCCATTCAACCTATCTTCTCTTAGCCATTCTCAAAACACTCCTTCT